CGTTCCTTGTTTACAACCCATTTGGTAATCTGGCCTGCGGCTTGAATGACCAGAAGACTGCAGAAGCCCTCGGCGATCTGGAAGACGGGTGTGCTGTATCGCAGAGTCTTGTCCCAGGCCCCTATCGATGCACTTTGCAGCAGTCCCTCACTCCCAAAGATCCATTCCTGAACGCTCTCGAAGTCGGCTCGCTTGCCGCCAAAGGTGCGTTCGACCCAGCCCGAATTGGCGTCGGCATCGATGGAGAACTTGTTGAGGCTCCAGATCAAGAGGGTGGGTATGGCCAGCCACTGCGCCCAAGCTATTACATTACACAGAAACCATCTGAAGCGCGAAGAGTCTGGCGTGGCCAGGCGCAGTATCGAGTAGACGAAGTAGTAGGCGCTGAGGGAGAGGGAAAAGGCGAGGCCACAGGTACGGCCGCCAATGTCGAAGGCGAGGGGTATGGTGAAGATGATGGCGCCGAGGAAGGTTGTCGACGAGACTACCCGCGATGCTGTAGCCCACATGCGGACGCCGTCGTCGCCAAGCTCGTGCAGCGACGAGCGTGGCGTCTGAGCGGGGCGGCGGGGGAGGTGCGAGGGGATTGAGGCGCGATGGACGCGCAGGCAGCGCGGGAGAAGCTGGTGGGAGTCACTCGAGGGGGAGTGGGCGTGCGGGAGACGTGGTTGAAGATTCGCGAGCAGCGGCCTGGCTATCGATTATCTTCACGTGTCAATCTCGCTAAGTGCAATGCTCGAGCGTCGTGGAGCGGGCTGCACTGGGCTTGGGCTGGCCGGCGGCTGGGGGTGAGGTCGCTCGGCGGAGAGCAGGCTGCAGGGCGAGGAGCGGTGCAGGAGAGGCTTTGGTATTGCTATCGATACGATATTGAAGCTGCTCTGTGCGAGTAGGCACGACTTGGGGCTACGGATGGATGCGTGCTCGCGTGCGCACTCTGGGAACAGCGCACGATGATGATGGCGACGGCGCGAGTCTAGGCCTGGCCGTCCTGCGTCTGCCGTCAGACAGTGTCTTGAATCCTCCTGCCCTGCTCTTGCTGCCTCCGACTGTGACGAGCTTGCCGTGCTTGCTTTTGCGTATCCCACCTACTAGCGCCCGCGGATCCTGCCAAGCCCAGGTGCCCGCCGCGGGACCGTCTTCTTATGCGAAACTTCTACTAGCAGCAATTGCATGTTCAAACTACGACCTTTGTTTGCCCGACCGTCGCGGATAGCCTGGAACATATACAAGCCACCCACACCAAACTACTTTGCCAGCTACTCTGCAAACACCACCCGCACCATGGCCGAAAGCCCCACCAAGAAGCTCAAGACTGACGTGCCTGTCATTGGCACGCACAATGGCCACTTCCACGCCGACGAGGCCCTTGCCGTCTCCATGCTGAAGGAGCTACCCACCTACCGCGACGCTCAGCTCATCCGCACCCGTGACCCCGCCGTCCTCGCCGAATGCCACACCGTTGTCGACGTAGGCGGCGAGTACGAGGACGATAAGAAGCGCTATGATCACCACCAGCGCGGCTTCGAGGTCGTCTTCCCCGGCCACACCACGAAGCTCTCCTCCGCTGGTCTCGTCTACATGCACTACGGAAAAGACATCATCACCGCTGTGACTGGTCTGGAAGGCGCCGACCGTGACCTCCTGTACGAGAAGATTTACACGGATTTCATCGAGGCCTTTGACGCCAACGACAACGGTATCAATGTGCTTGCGCCCAAGGACCTGGAGAAGGCAGGATTGGAGAAGAAGTTCGAGGACCGCGGTTTCAGCATCGCCAGCGTAGTGAACCGCTACAACTATGGCAACAAGTCGCCAACTGCAGACGAGACCAAGACCCCAGAGGCCAAGCAGGCTGACGAGGACTTCCGCTTCACCAATGCATCTCGCTTCGTAGGCGAACAGTTCCGCTGGGAACTCCTCGACCGCGCCCGGTCGTGGCTCCCCGCTCGTCACCAAGTCAAGCAGGCCTACGACGCCCGTCTCCAGTACGACCCCCAGGGACGCATTCTGGTCCTCCCCGAAGGTATGCCGTGGGCCGACCACCTCTACAACTTCGAGAAGGAGGCACAACAACCACAAGGCGTTGCCCCTCAGGTTCTCTACGTCCTCTTCCCCGAAGACAAGCCCGAGGGCAAGTGGCGCATCCGTGCCGTCAGCAAGGAGAACGGTGGCTTCGAGAACCGCAAGGACCTGCCTGATGCATGGAAGGGTGTGCGTGACGAGCAGCTCGACCAGGTCTCTGGTATCCAAGGCTGTGTCTTTGTACACGCCGCTGGTTTCATTGGAGGAAACAAGACGTTCGACGGTGCGCTCGCAATGGCGAAGAAGGCATTGGAGTTGTAGATGGTTATGATGGAACGACATGGACACTCAGTTGAGTGTATCACATGAAGCAACGAAAGTTGCTTACACTTTGCATATGCATGGTTGGCGTTCTGGCGCTTTCATACAAAAGTTATGATACCAACGATACACTTGGTTAGATGAATCATGAAAATACATGATTAGACGTCGAAAGACGACAGTAACTTGCTCTCTTCTTGCAATATTTTTGTGTTTGCTGAATCGCAGCCTTAGGGCCTTCAATCGTTTGCATTGGGGTTATCACAATGTTTGCTCATTGCAGCAAACGTAGGGAATTGAAGTAATCATCCTGAATTCTATTCGTCACGGATGTGTGATACCATCGTCAACGCACTGGAGACACGCATAACCGAAGACCTCGCACCCACTACACAAGTCCTGGATCACCGTCCCAAGCCAATAACCGCCTTGCGCACACGACAGCCGGAAGACCCTGATTCTTAGCTTGTTGCGCGAGCCAAATGCGCAGCTAGATCTTCGGTGCAAGCTTCAGGTACTCCACGCCCTGCGTCAAGTCTAGAAGAAGTCCACCAACGAGACCTGGCCAATTCGGGTCGAGACGTCATACGGGGAGAGTCGGGATGACTGGGCCAGACGCCGCTGAGAATGGCACACGACTCGTACCCGCGGCTGTCAGCGTCTCGGCTGTGATTGGCAGGAAAAGTGGAAAGGCGGCTGTCCGTGGCAAAGATTTTGTAGATCCGCAAGACGTGAGGTCGGATAGAAGGCTCTCGTACACTCGTTTCACATTGCTTTCTTACCAACGAACCAGAACATCGCGACTTTCTTGCTTTTTGATTGCTTGACAACGCATCTGTCTCCAACTCCTTACACCGCACTTTAATCGGCACGACTTTGCGGAGAAACAAGAAACAAAGATACAGGGCACGAGCGGTGAAAAGCGTTGAGCACTTCCCGCTTTCCCCGACGATCGTTTATCGCCAGCGCACGGCCTGCTTTTCGGCCTCTGCCCACCCGTCTCCAAACCTTTTGCACCCTTCACATTCCACAACCCACCTCAACTCCACACTACAGCTATCACAGCTCATCAATACATACCATCGGATTCTCGGGTCCGAATCACTGCGAACACGTCACATCGAAGCGACAACGAACATTACCCGACCCACACGACAGCGCACACGACCACACGATGAAGTACTTCCAGCAGACAGTCGACTTCGACTACACATGGGAGGAGGTCTCGACGAGCAACTGGCGCAAATACGGCCCCTGGAACGAGAAGACACCCCATGTCATCGCCGTCGACACATTAAGCCGCTCCGTCGACCCAGCGACAGGAATTGTAAGTGACTCCTTCTTTCACATGTCAATTCGGCGCGCCCCACCAGCCTCACCGAGCAGAAAACTAACACACCGCAGCTCCGCACCGAACGTCTCATCACATGCCAGCAATCCACGCCCAAATGGATACAAACTATACTCGGCGGCCAGGACACCTCCATGGTCTATGAGACCTCCTACGTCGACCCCGTCGCCAAGAAGCTCACCCTCTGCTCCATGAACATGACATGGTCCGACCTCCTCAACGTGCGCGAGACCTGCATATACCACCCCGTCGCCTCATCACCCGATAAGACCGCCTTCACGCAGCGCGCCGAAATTACCGCGCTGTGCGGTGGCTGGCAGAAGATCAAGAACAGCATTGAGCAGTTCACTGTTGAGCGCTTCCAGCAAAACGCTGCCAAGGGCAAGGAGGGCTTCGAGATGGTGCTTGAGCGCGCGCGCCAGGTATTCCAGGAACAAAGAGAGATTCTCGCGCTGCAACAAGCGCAGCAGGACAGTCGGATCCTTCGCCAGGCCAAGATATAAGGATGACGAGCAACAGCTTGCAGTCTCCTTGCGATGACAGTCCGACTCGTAAGCGCTGCGAACTTTCCGTCCAACATCACCACACGGTCCTTCGGTCCACTCCGCTCGATCTTTTCCCATCCATCTCGACTCTGCCGTTTCAACACCATTCAAGCGTTCTTCATACCTGGGTGGGATCCTTCCTTTTTTTTCACTGCAAAAAGTGCACTTCAACGGCGTTATCAAAAGCATGGGAGAGGCGCAGATACCCTTTTCACTGCATATTAGACGCCATTATGCATTATATACACGATAGAGACGAACCCATATACAAAGAAGCATTATTAGATAGTTTGAGTAATCAAATGAAAGATTATTATCAGAGTGTCTTTTCGGAAGTTTGGTACTGAGATTGTGATGGGTTTGGGTCGACCATTCAACCAAGGTGGAGATGCCGTCATTACTTCGGTTGAAGGGTAGGTGATGGCATATACTTGTAATATACCACGCACACTATCAAGACCTCAACAATTTCCTTTCCACTCGCAGTTATTCCCTCCATCAATTTCAACAATCTCCATTTATCACCCAACCCTTCATATCCCTCCACAGCCATGCAACACCGCCCCCTCAAACGCCGCCGCAGCACCTCCGGCATCAACGATCACGACAATCCAAGTCGGAAACGTCAAAAAATGTTAGCGTCGGTGTTCAAGCAGCTTCAACAGACGGCTGAAGAAGTCAGATGCGCGCTCAATGATGCTACATGGTTGTCTGTGGAGGAACGAGTTTGTGCTGCTTTGATTATTGATCATGTGGAGATGATGTCGAGGATGATGGAGAGGGGCTATGAGTTTGGGGATGGGGAGATGGGAGAGGATGACGAGGAGGAGATGGAAGACGGAGACGGAGACGGAGACGGAGACGGAGACGGAGATGCAAACGAAGACGATGCTGGGGATGTTGTTGAAGAGGTCGCGAGAGAGGACCCTGAGTCTCCTTTTGTTGAGGGCGTAAGCGGATCTCTGGAAGTGGAGAAAGATGAGAAAGAAGGGAGTGGTAGAGAGGTCGGTGGTGATGAAGATGGAGATAGTGATGGAGAGAAAGAAGACGAGGATTCTCACTCGTCGTGGATGAAGAGGGGAGTTAGCTTTTCAGCGGGTGCAAGATGTACGCCATACACCGTGAGTGGAGATAGCTGAAGTGCTTTGCATTGCAAAGTCGCAACACATGAGGTATCTGGTGCACGAATGGTCTACGATGGGTTGATAAAGTGGGTAGGCGTAGGGCTGGGCATATGGATCGCGAGATAGTTGAATCTTTGACCAGGTGACGACGAGTGTTTGCGCATTGAGTTCTTTTGAATAAAGGACTCTTGATAACGTTACTTTGTTGCGAGATGGTGCTACGTGTGGAAGTAGCCATATCGCAGTAGCGATGTTGAAGGGATGTTATGAAAGGATCGAGCCACCTCTCAAGCGCCCTCGTGCAGACAGCGCCGATACCGTACCCTCCCATCCGCCTACTACCACATCAAATGCAGATCCGCCCTCGACAGCAGAGCCACGCGTTACATTATTCGAAATCTCCCAGAAAACAAAGGCCCTTGATTTAGCACCCGACAACAACAAGTATACCAGTCCCTTCAGTCAACGCCTCCTCAATAAGCTAGCCGTCGAGGATCCCGCAGTCGCAGCCAGAATCAACGAAGCCTACGAAGCCTACTTGGAAAAGGAGAAGAACACAGTCGTTGACTTCCAATACGACATCAAACAGCTTAAAGATGCCATCCCTAGCACAGGCGACGGTCCCACAACACCGGCAGCGATCCCTTTTGTATCCGACAAAATCCAGTCGACGTTTTTCGACAACGTGACCAGAATCTGCGGTCGAGCACACGAGTTCTCATCTCTCGGCACCAAGAAAAACGCTTTGGACGCGGTGAGAAAGCTGCTTGTCTTGATCGTCCAGATCCCGGACAAGAAATTGCGGGCCGCGGTTGTAGAGCGTATCAACATCGAAGATGCGGGCACAGTCGCCCCCAGCATGGCAGATGTTGTATGCTCCTTGACTTATGCACAGCGCGAAGAAGTGTGCAAGATGCCAGTAGATGGAGCCACAATTACAGCTACAGAAGGCGAGTCTAGATGTCCCAGAGGGTCGTTTTATGACAAGTTCCTTGAGTTGAAAGAACAGGATTTACTCGAGGCGGGCTTTGAGATCAGCTTCGCTCCTTTCACGCGGCCGCTGGCGATATGGGAAGAGGACATTGAGGATGGCTATGAATTTGATCCTGAGGTAGAAATGGAGGCGATGTATGAGGATGGTTTCTAGGGTGTGGGTAGTAGAGTACCTTTGAAAGAACGGACTGCGAGAGTGAGAGCTTCATGGCGAGTGGAGTCTGAGTGAGATGCAGGGTGCGAGCAGACAGGACGAACACAGTCACGCAAACACATTTCTACAGCTCGCACCTCTACATCTTACTCAAACTGTTGGTTTTGAACGTTCAGGATGGGTTCGTGGTATCTCACAACGCGCTTTTACCCATGTTCCGTTCCATAAAACACTTTCAATAGCTTCGCTTTCGTCGTTGGCTAGCTAACGCCTCTTTCTTTCCCCATAGCATAGTCTCCGCGCGTACAGCCACTTTAGGTGTGCTCCATGCTCCATTTTCCTACTCAGTGGGGTCCTCCCAATAAGGTGGCGTACCATAATCATCCTCAGAACCGTCCTCGCCATCACTCCCGTCATCACTCCCGTCCTCATTCCCACGACCCCACCAAAACAATTCCTCACTAAAACCATACAAATGCATGCCACAAATCAACCATGTCTCATCAAGACGTTCCCTCAACTCCTGCATCTTATCCATGAATCGGTTTCCCCCTCGGCGCATCTCCCCCGTAGTCGCCACCGTCGCCCCGTCTACTGGCATATTGGCCAGTTCTTTGCGCTCTTGCCCCGACATGTCTCTGAGGATCCCAAGCATGCCGAGACACTCGTCGGATTGGCCCTCGGTAACCCAACCTGGAAGCTGCTTTTGCAATTCTTTGTCCCGTGTATCAAGCCATGCAAATGCCATTCGTCTAAGCGTATCCAGCGCCGATTTCTTCGTTTCGAACGACGAATAGTAGTATGTTCGGCGCCAAATTTCGCGCATCTTTGTGATGAAGCAGTTTGCAATTTGTTCTGGATTTCTTGCTAGGTGCGCTGGCTTTGCTTCTTCATGACGTATGACTTCTTTGAGCGCGTCGACACTGTGTGAAAAGTCTTTGCGCTGCTCTCGTTCTGCCTGCATCTCTTTTTGCCGTTGCAGGTGGGAATGGTACTCTTGTCGGATTTGGGCTCCGATCGAAGGGTCGCGGAGATTTAGTTTGACGAGCATTATTTGGCTGAAAGTATGATCTGTTTGTGACTTGTCGAGGGCACTTAATGCCGTCCAAAGGTCGTAGACCGGTATATCCGGGTTCGTTGTGGTAGATGATCTGGCTATTGCGGATGGATTTACGTCGCTCTCGGCACGCTGTCGCTTGAGTGATGGCTCCGTCATTTTGTTCAGCAGATAGTCTATGAGCGTGGTGCAACTCGCGTTTTGCGCAAAGGCGAGGAAGAGTCAACGTATTGTCGCGACAGCGTCGCGAGGTTATGCGATCCGGCAAATTCCACGGCGAAAACAAGAAGGTCATCTTAATAAGTGGAGCATCTCTACTGGATCGTGATCTCTGTTCCATCCGGAAACGTCAAAGTTCTTGCAGCTCTCAATGGCCTTCACTCACATCGACGTTCGAAGCCCAATGCGAGCCCTCTCATTGGCCGTCCCACCCACTAGTGGGTCCACATTAGGCGGCTTAGGGATCAATCCAAACGCAGTTGAGAGCCTCATGCAACGCAAAGATTTGAAAGTGGTGCTCAGTTGGTAGCTGCGCAGATGCTGGCGGCGTACACAACTTGAGATAAGATTACTAGGCAAGGGTACTAGAAGCTGTCGGCGATAGGAAGTCCTAACATCAATGACAAGGAGTCAGCCCAAACTCGGATTACGGATCAGCCTCTTCTCGCTATCCCCTTCTTGTGTTTGGCTAATATACATCGGTTCATCGTGTCAGTTTGAGGGGCGCCGCGGGAGTTTTAACAGTCCAACTACTCCTCTTTTTTCGACCTTCCATCCACAGGCTTCGTGCCATATATTTCGCAGTTGGTAGCATCTGACGAAGGGCTTCCTTCATAGTCCTCTTACGCTTCTTCTTCTTCTTCGCCTTCGCCTTCCCCGTCCTCGTCCGTCTCATCCTCACAAGTAAGATTTGTGATCACGTCTTGTAGCCCCTCGAAAATGCAATGATCGTCTGCAAGCTCTTTGAGTTGCTCCATTGCTTTTAGGAACGGCCTACCCGAATATTCTAGGGCACACACCCTCTCGCATTCCTCCACGCTCATCTCGTCAATCACGGCGTTCATTGAGCTTTCCAACGAGTCATCCATCTGGAAATGATTACGGATTTGTTTACCGATCTCCTCTTGGCCTCCGCATATTGACACTGCAATGCAGCGCAGAGCTATAAGCGCGTTTATCTTCGTTCCGAGAGAAGCATACTCCTGAGTGGTTTGTTCGACAATGAGTGTAAATGCTTCTTCGATTTGTCGTATGACGTCGGAAACGGCGTCATATTGCTCGGAACCGCTCAGATCCATGTAACGCTCTTCGATTGAATAAATCACTTTATCGGCGTGACTGCTGAAACTGATGACCTTGTGACGCTCTCGCTCAATGTATTCCTCTTTGTGATTGCGCAGGGTTGCGGCGATCTCTGGTGTAGCTAGAGCTGCCTTGAGAAGTATTTGCTTGGTGAGCTCGCCATCGTCGTCTGCATACAGCAGCAGTTCGATGCAATACTGGAGATCAGCTTTGGCGTAATAGTCGGCGATAAGGTCGGTGAACGTGGGCTGCGCGATCGAATCACCGTTGGTGTTGGCGCGTTGTCGTTTATGTGGCGCTTCCATTGCTGCTCGCGAATCCGTAGGACGTGGACGTGATGGTAATGTATTGTGATATCTTGAGATGTAGTCGTGACGCGTCGCATCGTGATGTCGCAGATGATCACGCGCGTTGCGCGGAGATACGTTGGGACACCCACATGAGAAGCGGGAGCTGTCTCGGAGCGACTAGAGGGACGCGTGTTCATTTTTTGCCGTTTCTCCGTGCCCAGGAATGCAGTATAATGATCCGAGTTAAAAGGTTATTGACCCGGGTCAAAAAGTTATTCGTCCTGGTCAAAAAGTTATTCATCCTGGTTAAAGGAACACCAAAAGTCATGTGACGGTCGGCATCAACGCATGGCTCGACTTCCTTGCCCTGCGCGTATCTCGCATCTTTAAGAAGTGATTTCTGACCAGCATCAGAGAGATAAGGCGTCCGCCTGCCGAAGACGGAAGAGACATCGACTAGCCAGGGGTTTGATGCAGCGACTCAGGCGGTATCTGGTGTGATGATGTTGGCTTCTTGTGCTGTCACTTCTTCAGTCGCAATATGGCGACGTTTGGAAGGTAGAGACTGCGACTGCTTCGACTGTGTAGCAATGATCATACGACGAAGATGGGCGGACGCATTGTGAGAGTTTGACGAGGTGGCTGGTCTGATGGAAACGATGATGCTGCAGCAAGTGACGAGCATGTGGGGCAAGGTGCGACTGACAGCTTATCTCCGGGCTGCGCACCCAATACTCCACGCCAGATTCACATGCAGCGACAGCAGTCAAATGCAGCGAAGAGTAAGTAAGCGGGTGATGTAAAGATGTGCGACATCGCCGTGATACTATCAAAGAGGGCTTGAAGGATCGCTTTCGTTAACGTATCTAGCCCCTTCTAGAGCCACATCCTCTACACACACTCCTGGCACTCCAACATGAAGCAGATGGACTCAGAAGACCCCAGAATGGGCGGTGCACCCAGCGTCACTCTTCCAGAAACATCAGCCGCCCTCAACGTAGAAGAGTACGCATCGCAACCACAAAGTCACGGCCGCACAGGGTTTCCAAAACAAGGTGGACAGTCACTTTCGTATTGGTTGCAGCAAGTTCGATGCGATCCACTCCTAGATCACCGCACTACCGATGAGCTACCACAAGAAGCCGATACGGTCATCATTGGATCTGGTATCACAGGGACACTTGTCGCGAAGCATCACCTCGAGACGTTTCCCGGAAAGAAAGTGGTCATTCTCGAAGCGAGAGAGTTCTGCTCCGGCGCAACAGGTCGCAACGCTGGCCATTGCAAACCTGATCAATGGCGGGGTTACGGGAAACACGCCAAAGCGTACGGCCATGAGCAGGCAGTCAAGATCTTGGACAACGAGCAAGCTACGTGGGAAGCCTTGGTGGCGTACGTCAGGAAGAACAACGTAGACTGCGATCTCTGGATTGGAGAGACCCTAGATGTTCCCTTTGATGACCAAGTTGCGGAGATAGCCAAAGAGATGTTCGAGAGGTACGCAGCAGCAGGTGGAAAGGTGGACCGCATTCAAGTTACCCAAGATCCTGTCGAAGCAGCATCATGGTCACAAATCAGGGGTGCGAGAGCGTGTTACGCATGGCCGGCGTCGACTCTGCAGCCGTGGAAGTTGACTGCACACATCATGCGCGACAACATCAGCAAGGGCGCCAACCTCCAAACTCGCACTACTGCGGAGTCGATCTCAGAGGGGACGGGATCTCGAAAATGGGTGGTTCATACGGAGCGAGGAGACATCGCATGTGACACAGTCGTGCATGCTACGAATGCATACAGTGCAGCCCTCGAGCCATCACTTCGCGGAATCATCACGCCCAAGCCGCATATGTGCAACAGAGTAGTTCCGCCGCAAGCCTTCAGCGGATCAAAGGCTATCAGCAACTCCTATGGTATCTTGCTACCGGATGGTGCATTCCTCAGTATCAACCCGCGTTCGTCTTCCGATGGCAACATTATGTTCGGTGGCTCCAACCCTGGACAAAAGGAACTGGATGCATGGGTTGAGAAGAACCCAGAGAACTGCATCAATGATGGACTTGCGAACCTGGAGGGTGTAACAAAATATGTCAGGAAGTTTGCAGAATCGGAATTCGAGGGTTGGAAAGACGCCATTACAGGTCCCGGGGAAGGTTTTGAGTATAGTTGGAGCGGCATCATCGGGTTGAGCGCGGATGGTGTGCCGTTCGTCGGAGAGCTGCCCGGGAAGCCTGGTCAATATATCTGTGCCGGCCATCATGGACAGTAAGTTCGATAGTCCACGAAGAAGTGCGAGGCTAACATCGGGACAGTGGGATGGCGCGAATCTTCACAGCAGCGCCTGGCTTGGTGAAGCTCATGAATGGTGAAGACTGGGGCGCGACGGGATTGCCAGACGTGTACCAGATGACAGCCGAAAGACTCGAGAAATTGACGAGTATGGATCCCGTACCTGCCATCGCGGTTATATGAGGAAAGGAGTTCGTACTTGCATGACTCGCGCACTTGAACCGTCCCTTTCGTTTCTCTTAGCTACCGAAAATAGCACGCAGAACCACAAGAAAACACGAACAGCGCACAACTTTCCGTAACCATGTCTGGGACGCTTGCGCGACCGCAATTTCGACCCCGTCACCTGCAGTGGTTCACGAGCGTAAGAGGCGGTGAACTGTCACAGTCGGAACCGTGAAATCGCATGCCACAATCCACACTTTTCCTCTTTTCTTTCCTAACGCAGTAACCTTGTAACTCGTCTTCTGCTCGCCCTGGCATTAGACCGTGGTAGCGAGGCCGCAGCGGTAATTTGCTTGGTGTTGTGCCGCTGCGTAGCTTATTGGTTTGGGTGTTGTGGAAATTTGACACGGCGGTGTCGTGCTAGGTGGCTGTTGCCGGTAGCGAGGGAATAGGCAATATAACGGCAGGGGCGATAACGGTTTGTACGACCGTAAGCGCATGGCTCTGTATGGGAGGTTACATCTTCAGATTCTCGGTTTGCAGCTTTGTCTTTGGGGTCGTGACAGATGGTACTCTGACAGCTCGTGGAAAGTGCGGGGTGCGCTCGGGCCGACATCGATGCGGCGGGTACGAATGACTTCACTCCGGACTATACATGTCCGCTAATATATACTTCGGATGACAGCCAGGGCTAGACGAGAGCCAACACTGGTCGTACCTCACGATTGCAGGACTACACATACCGGAAAGTTTGCGTCATGTCTAGCCTACCAGACAACATACGCAGGACACTCGAAGTCCTACTTCCCAAGATCAAGTCGCGACATGAGGAGTCGTCAAAACCTATCATACTTGGTATCACCGGTCTGCAAGGCTCAGGCAAATCGACATGGGCATCGGAGTTGGTCAAGATTCTGTCGAAAGACCATGGCCTCCATACGATAACCGTTTCACTGGACGACTTCTACAAGACGCATGATGAGCTAGTGGCCCAGCGGGATCGTGATCCAAACAACAAGCTTTACCGTACTCGTGGACAACCTGGTACACACGACGAACAGCTAGCCCAAAAGTTCTTCGGCGATCTGAAAGAGTACACCGGAAAAGGTGACCTCAAGATACCCAGCTTCGACAAGAGCAAGTACAACGGCGAAGGCGACCGAGCACCTGAATCAGAGTGGCCAACAATCTCACAAAAGCCCGACGTTGTCGTCTTCGAAGGCTGGTGCGTCGGCTTTCAGCCAGTTTCGCAGTCATTCATCGAAGAACGACATTCGTCGGCAAAAGCCGGGAAGCTCACCGTCAACACCCCTGCAAATCATCAGCTTCCCCACTTATTTGAGGTGAACGACAATCTCAAGCGTTACTGTGACGCCTTCATGGGCCCTCAGCACTTTGACTTCTTCATTCATATCGACACGAATGATCTGAGGAACGTGTACACGTGGCGGCTGCAGCAAGAGCATAAGATGATTGAGGTCAAGGGGTCGGGGATGTCGGACGAGCAGGTTCGCGCGTTCATTGATGGGTATATGCCGAGCTATGAGATATACCTAGAGCGTCTGCGTGAAGGACTGTTTGATGATAAGGGTAGGATGGTTAGGGTGGTGTTGGATAAAGAACGACGGGTTGAGAGGATTGAGGAGCTGTGAGAAGCTGTGGGTTCTATATCGATATCCAACCACCCTTGGCCGACGATAGCAGAAGACGAGAAGGGATGATGGGACAGCAGAACTGAAATGCTGAACCGGTGATTATGAGATCGGGAGATCTGCTGAATATCTTTTCGCAGCGTGCGCTTTATTCAATATAATCACTTTCACCATCGCTGCGCTTAAGTTTCTGTCGTACTAGGACAATCGTATTTGCCCAATGAACACCCCACCGCCAACGCCACCTCTTTGATTTTCGTCGTCGTTCTGCATTTGATCATGGCTAACGCGAACCACTATCAGGTCCTCGGTATCGATATCCAAGCTAATGACGCCGTGATCAAGAAGGCATATAGGCGGGTTGCGCTCGCGAACCATCCCGAAAAGACCCTGCACTTGTCAACAGCAGAAATCGAGCAGCGAACCAAAATCTTCAAGCTAGCGACTACAGCGCAAGAAGTGCTGCTCGACCCGGCGAAAAGAAAGAGCTACAACAAGACACTAGCGCGGGCAGTGAGGCCATCCAGTGCACCAACTGCGCGACCTCCCCAAGCGCGACCTCCCCCAGCGCAACCTCCCCCAGCGCGACCGCCTCCGGCCTCTGTCTCCCATGCACCAGGCTTTAAAAGGCCTCCGCCGCCCCGAACCACATCGAGGGGGACTGATCCGTTCCAGCCTCCGAAGTCCCACTACTTCGGTGGCCCAAGAGAGCCGCCATCAAGCAAAGCAACGCAGACACCACCCCAGAACACCCACCCCTTCACCACCGGCAGTCCAGCCACCTACCCCCCACCAACCCCCTACTTCTACGCCCCAGTAACAGAAACGCCCCAACGCACAATCCTCACCTACTCCAACAACGACAAATGGAAGTTCAGCATCGGCATCTCAAAGAAGTACGAAGGGATCGTACGCCCCACACTACCTTTACTGGGGGAAGACACCAAAGACATGATTGCGGTGAAATTCTGCCTGCGACGAACAGCCACCACCCCCGCCACCGTCTTCATCAGGGACGTCGTGCTAACCGTTGAGTCCACACCTGATGACCGGAGTGTTGCGGTTAGTTCCATCTTCGCCGAGAGGAAAGACGGTATAGATCTTTGGGTTACGATGGCGGGAATTGGTGCGACGCCTACTACCATGCCGGCTCCAGTCAAGCAGTCATGGATGTGGGCGTGGGATGTAGATATGGGCTTTCTGGTTCCGTTCTATAAGACGTTGAGAGCGACACACTTGATGTTTTATCCGCAGTATCCTGCGCATGCTGTGGGCGTGGATGGAGCGACGCCACCGACTCAGGGACCTTTCCCGAGGGGGTCGCCGGCGGCGGAGTTGGTCAGGATGTTTCCGGGGATGGCGTTTGTGGGTAGAACGACGTGGTCCTATTGTCAGGAGGTGAAGAGGGAGGGGGAGACGTTTTGGCAGCTTGCTGCTGTGGGCCATGTTTGAGTTGTTTTGGTCGTGCTATATGTTGTCAGCACAAACGAAATGGCCACTACTGTGAGGATGTATTCCATTGAAAAGTGAATTTGTTGGCAACGAATAATACTCTTGATTCTTTGCTCTTATGAAACCAGGCCGCTCAAAACGCCAAATATGCAAATCATCTAAAAATGATCTATAGAACACCAGGGATGGGTCCCTTCTTCTCGTTGGAGCCTAGCTCTTCTTCGTTCCATCCACTGCCAGCGCCAACCTTGCGGCCGCCCTCCTCTCTCTTGATCCTGCACCAGAGACTGATGTCCTTATCCCAGATGAACTGCCAGATAACGTACACCCAGCTCTTGTGTTGCGGCAAGTCTTTGTAGAAGTCGTGCGCGATACGGTTCAACGCGTGGAGGCGCGTCCAGGGGATCGCAGGGAAGTCGTGGTGCTCGTTGTGCAGACCGACGTTGTAGGTGAAGAAGTTGAGAGGTCCGTAGTAGGAGTAGGTCTCGGGAAGTGGGATCTTGTTGGCGGGGTTCGACGGGTCCTTCTTGGGCTTCTCGAAAACGTAGTGCTCGGCGATGAAGTGACCTGCGCACGGGTGTAGAGATCCGGCAAGGAAGCTGCTCATGATCAGGTAGCCCAATGCCCTTCCTCCTGCAAATCGAACCAGCGCGAAGTCGAAGGCTAGCTGTACAACGACGTTGAAGAGGTGGATCTTGGTCATTGGCAGGGCGTAGACGAACATAGGTCGGAGGGCGTAGAAGAGGATCTGGAAGGTCGCAAAGAAGGCCTTGCCAGCGACTGAGTCAAGGAAGATAGCCTCAAAAGCAGTCGGCAGGTCGGTGTCAAGGCCATTGACACCCAGCGACTTGTGATGCGTCAGATGATAGGGTCTGAAGGAGGCGCTGTATGGAATGCCAATTGGCAGGTTTGCAAACACAGCAAAGATCCTGTTTGCCTGAGGCGATCGGAAAGCCAAGTTGTGCGATATCTCGTGAATGGCGAGGAAGAGGTTTTGGTTGGCCGTGGCACCGATTACGTATGCGGTAAGGAAGAAAGTCCATGATATGACGGGGGTATTGCGAAGGAGGTATGCGCAGAGGACTTGGATCGAGACGACGAGTAGGACGACGTATTTGGTGAGAGGCTCAGGGCCACAGAGCTTCGTTACCTGTATACGATTAGATTATGCTCAATGGAAACGATTTCATAGTAATCATACCTCAGGGTGTGCCTTGATGATGGCCATTCGCCGTGTCCTATGGGGCTCTTCGGTGTATGTCCAGAAAAAGTGGTCGTGTTCATTCTTGGCTTTTGGCTCCTGCTGTTTCTCCCCTTTCACAGTGAAGCTTCGGGGAACAGGCTCCTTTGACGGCACTGTCGCGGTAGAGACTGAAGACCGCATGTTGGGCAGTCGTAAAGAACAATTGCAGAGTGTGTGAAGGGCAGAGGGGTCCAGCTCTCGAAGTTTGTGGAGTACTTGACCCTGAGCTTGGCGCTAGCGGAGGCGGTGGGGCTGTCTCACGCCATGATTGGCTGATAACCTCGTCTGATTCGCCACCCCGCTAGCGCAGACGCAGGAACGTTGGGCCTGCCTTCTAGAACATCATCACTTTCTGTCCTCCGACAGCTTACATATGCCAGGAGCACTAGCAGACAAAAGTATCATTCCATTCTAATTACAATCTGAGCCCATAGTCAAGTAGCCAATTTCACTATCGCTCTTCGTCGAATTTCCCGACCTCTCGAGGCTCCAAATAATGAAAGACTGAATGACCTAGCCCCTTGGGGTCATCCTTCAGCAGCTCTATCTGATTGTAACCCTGAAAGAACTTTTTAACGCGTTCATCCGATGAATCGCATGATTCCGGATCTTGTTCCCACCAAGGTCGACAGATGATCGCGCTAGGTTTCATCGGCTTCTTTCTTTTCCCTGGGATAGGCTTTGGCGATTCGGGCGGATCGGGCCCGCAGACGTGTCCAGCGAGGACTTGCCGTATGGGCGTCTTCGTGTTGAATGTGACGAACATCCAGTCATCACCCATCCATCCACCGCGGCCATCAGTTGGTACTGTTGCGTCTAACCAACTTCCGTTGTTGCTTGCGCGGACCGAGACCGTCACCTCATTTCTCACGTCAGGAAGGACGAAGAATTCCTTGCTCAAGAATTCGATGTCGAAGTCCGTGTAGCAATCATCTTCGAAAATGACTTCGACGTGTGGCTTTTCGCTAATCCATACTTGTTAGTCTGTGGATTGCAGTGCTTTTAGTTTGACGGCTTTGTGCTGTCAGTACATACCTCTGATCCTGGAAGTATTTCTCCCTCAGCATCTCCAACAAACTGCCTATAATCTGCCGCACCAACATGTAAGATCGATAGTTGTGAGGAAAGTCCTTTTGTTTGGCCTTTTCGAGTGTTCCAAGCCCCATCACAACGACCCTTCGGACCGTCTTGCCCATCTTCTCGAGCATGGTTCGCAGTTCAGGCTCCGGGAATAGCTCTTTCTCTGGTCGTTTGCCAGCCTTGACAATGGGTCGCTTGATATCTCGGCTGAGGATCTCCCCCAAATGCCATCTCAAAGTAGAGTACCAAATGTTCTTGACATCTCTATCGTATTCGCTGTCATCGTGGCTATCCGGCCACCAGGATTGGCATCCCTGCGCAAGCTCAAGAGTGGTAGCATGTCGTCCTGGGCCGTGGAAACCGACGTGAGCGACCTTCTTGGGGTCTTTCCAAATACTGATTTGGTCATCAGGTACTGGGGCTAGTTGCCTCACTTGATCTATCGTCGGCCCCGGAAAAGATTCCGACAGTGATAGTTTTAGGGCTTGCTGTGGAGCTTGCATGGTGACTTTGTTTGGTTCGTATATAGTTGGTATACTGGTATAGATAGGAATATCAAGTTGATAGTGATCAACGAAGAGGGTAACCAAAGCCGCCTTTTATACTGTTTCCTATATGACTCGAAACACTGTCTACTCAAAGTCAGAGTCACATCCGTATACGAGTATGACCATGTGATGATGCGCACAGTCCCACCGAGTTGGTGTAGACTAACAAGATCCTCGAACCGCAGCCTGGTATCGTCCATGATCTGAGCGATAATTCTACGCGATTGACCCTGTTTCAAGTTACTCGATTCAACTCTTCGGGCTATTGTACAACCACACAAGTCGGCAGCAGCCATTGCAAGTGGCATATATTGGCTCATGAAGCGGCTGAGTGGTTCACAGTGACTCCAAAAAGGTCGCACAATGAGTCCGAACATGTGGGCCAGCCTGGAATGCAGTCATGGCCAATGCTCAGGTGTTGTGTGACGAAGATGTGATTTCACATTCCGTCGCCGTTGATAATTGCACAGCAAAGACCAAATACTTCATACTTCACAATACTCTAACAGTCTTCCAAGGTTTTGCAGCAAGTCCGTGACGCATAAGAAAGAGTGTCTATCTGAGCAGGCCAACATCTCAGTCAAGCATCACGATGCCATGTTGACATTAATGAGTGGAATTTCGGCAAACGTTTCCCAGTATCAAGGAGACTACTACAGTGTCATTACGTGAACTGCCTAGCTATATCTAACTACATGAGCACCTCTATGACCGGTCTGCACCTAGTCATCTGTTCGACAACCTAGGAGCCATTCATCTCTAGGCCTCAAGATCCAAAGATACATTTTCCCCTCGAATGGCCGATGGTCATCTACTGTAAACCTATGGACTTCTTTGTATCTGCTGAACCACTTGTCGACACGCGTATCGGTATCATCTTCGCGACGCTCATTAGGTGCCAATGTTCCACGTTCCCGAGTAATTTTTGGAAACAAGATCTCCGTTGAATATCGGCAGATAATCGCGCGTGGCATGATAGCATTGGGTTCTTCTCTATCGTCCCAGTCTTCTCTATGATCACCATCCTTCCAAGTGTACCAGGCCAGAATCTGTCGAATGGAGTCTATGGGTTTGAAAGTCATGAAGATGTAGTCGCCGCTGTCTTTTTGAGTGCCGGTCCAGCCCGTTCCATCGTTGGTCGCTTCGACTTTGACCCCTTTGTTAAGGTGTTTCTGGTCCAGGAAGCGATTATCCAAATAGTGGCGGTCATTCTCATAGTAATGACAATCCTCGAGAAAAACCCTCCAACGTGCTTCGTTTGCTGTATTCATTGTGTACGCGGTTTCCAAGATCCTACGAACCAACATGTGCTGCCACAAGCTGTCCTCATAGTCTTAGTTCTCGCTGTAGAGAAGGCTTCCAAGACCGATTGCCACAATGTTATGGATATTGCCTCCAGCCGCCCGAAGATGTAGAGCCAGCTCGTTATTCGATAAATCAATAAACCTCGGCCATTGTCCTTTATCTTTCATCTCTGTAACCGCCGCTAAGCCTGCAAATACTTTTGTGGCGTCGCGCTTCGGATTCTCATCCTTAAGTTTGCCTTCGTACCAGAAGAGATTAGTTTCCACCTGAGAGCTCAGCAATCTCGTGGTTGCGTAAATTCCAGTCATATTAGATGGGTGTTTGAGAGTCTCAAGAGACCAAGGACATGGTTGTCGGCTGTCAGCCTTGGTGATTTCCTCCGGCTTGAGTTTGATAGCACGAGTGGACATCTCTGGTTGTAGGTAGACTCAAAGATTGATGCGTTGTATGCTGATATGTTGGCAATCGATATGTGTGCCTGCTGAACTGACTTCTGGGTTGTTGAAAGCTGCTTTATTAGCGCAAAGGTAACGAAGCACCAGAGGAGACTTTATATAGTGAAAAGTTTGATGACTCTACTCCGCGTGAGCACCATAGCAAACCTAGACATGACTCCGATGAGGAAGATCGTGGAGCCAGGAATGGCCGATCGTTGATCCTGAGCGCACGCAGGAGCGCCTCGTATACTTACTGACACTCTTCGTGCTACAACACAGGAGTCAATATGACTCTGACGGAAGTGAGTATCCGTGATAACCAATAGTCGGCGCGTACCGTTGAGAGCCAACTCGACACAAAGAAATCCGGAGCTTTGACACAGATCAAAAAGTGTCCCTCCGCGCCGCACTGAACTTGAATCCCACCCCAAGGTGTAGACTCATCGATAAATGACTGCGATCTGACTGTGTATGCTGCAATACACATGACCAAGAACAGATCAGCTCCTGCGCAAGTTGGGTGTGTGCACGTTCACCGTAGTACGAGATACTCAGCAATGTAAAGCGCAGTCAACCTGGATGCTCTTGCTAATCTAAGGGACGTGCGACATGCTGATGGGGTATCATAATCGTTTCGTTCCTTTTACGTCATTCCATATTTCTTTCCCAATATTCTTCCAGTTCCCGACCTCTTCATCACTTCTCTTTCTCCTGGTGAGGCCTGATCGCCTGACTTCCACAAGCCATACCACGCCCCAGTAAGCGACCGACAACGACACTAGTACATATGCCAGCCATACGATTAGAAGCACGGATGTACCTTGATCCAGCTTTCCCCCAGCAACGTGGATGATGTCACCAGCCACCGAGAAAACCCCAGATATCAACACCGTGAGCAACACGGCGGCGACGAAGGCGAATGCGCTCGCAAGGAACGGCCAGAAGATGTTGAAGTAGGCGAGAAGTTTTGAGTGTGGAAAGATGATGGCTGGAATGGCGGAGACGGCGGAGAACCCAGCACCGACGAGCGAGACGAGTAAGGAAGCGAAGACGGTGTATCGCACGCCGGCCAATACGGTAGCCATAGTCCTGAGGAGAGTTGAGACTAGGACTATTGGGGAGAGTGGGTCTTGAGATCCATCAGTCGGCGTTGTCAGTGTCAATAGCCCTGCAGAAGTATGGTCAGTCGAGCCTCAAACACCTTCGGAGTTGTGTTACTCACTGTCACTGGCTTCGCTATAGATTTCGCATAGTTCTACAACAACGATATCGGAAGCAGCGTCTTGAGCATCGGGAATGGAGCCCGAACAAACTGTCCTGAGGTAGAGATAGTAGACGTCTGCTAGTGCCTCGCCGTCCACGCCTTCCGATCGTATCGATGTTGCATCTGACTGCGAGCTCGCTCGGGCGATCGTAGTTGTATTCAGCTGCGGTTCGTCAACATTTGTCTTCATTTCACCGAGGTCGGCATACGTACTGCCACGATGTACTGTCCACCAAACATATGCTCATCGCTTCCCGCCAGTACCAGTACCAGCGTGAAGACGAAGCTTGCGACCGCGAATGCGATCGAAAGGATAGCAGAGAACCGGTACTTCATCAACACCCTTTTCGGTGTCTTGGGCGGCGCCGGCAGGGCCTTGTCGGTAGACTTCCGCAAGTCTCCAAGATCAGGCTCAATGGCTATCTCTTTCCCCGTGTAGAAGGTCTCCTCTATGTGATCCATCTTGCTCATCGACACACCGTGTGGTTGAAAGGCGCTAGCGGCGAGACTGACAGTGCTGACGGATGTCAGTACATAAGGACGGGTGTATGATGTCCATAGCAGAAGACATATGCACTGTCGCAGAGATGATAAGTAAGGCGCTTCAACATGCGTGCAGCATGACGCAACTGTTCCTGGTTATCGGGAACCTTCAATCTCGATGTCTGGGAAGCATGGATGTACGTGGTAGGCCTGTCGCATGATTATAGTGTTGCATGATAGACCTGCTATATACCGTCGCGGATACGGCACATGCAGCCTTGCGCGGGGATAGACTGGTGGTTTCAAACAACCTGCTAGTCGCTAGATCGCGATGGATGTGCGAATTCGGCGATCAGCGTTCCTGTTTCGGCGTCGCAGGACGTGGCCAAAGCGTGGCATTGAGCAACAACCAGCGTCAGATGGATGGGGTCTGAGATGTTTCGTCGACATCCAAACAACTTGCGCAGGGCCGGGCCCACGCATTGTGAGTACGTGTCGTGCCGAACTGAAAGCGGTCGTGAAGTTCGCGAATGCGAGGTGGTAGCTCCCGCAGAAACGGGGAGCGCTTCACTAGTGCGACTGAAACGCCGAACTTTCGGAGCGACGATCGCGACCTCTCCATATAGTGTTTGAACGATACCACGTCGCTCGGGTACATTTGCCAAAGCCTTTTAGTAGTCGAAGAGTGACCGAGAGTCGGTAAAATTCTCGAACGCGAAGCTGTTCTACTGCTAGAAGAACGATCCTGGGGGATATTGTCCAAGAGGCTGCGGCTGGAGGTTGGGAAACGCATCACCCTAATCATGGGTTAGTACAACAGCACCTGATGAGCCGAGCTAGACGTACCCAATCGAGAGGTAGGGTATACTGGTCCAGATCCATTGGCATGAAGCCAAAATCGAACGGGTGACCAAAAGCGCTATTGCCCATGTCAAATACATCCGAGTCGGGAACAGCAAATCCAAGATTGTTGGTGTCGAGAATCTGGGATGGGGAAGTCAAATCAGGTTGGGCACCTATGTGAGCCGCTTTCGATGACGTTAGTAGATGTAAGCGGGTAGTGAATAAGATGCGGCTCACCGTGCGCCGAATCGGTAACCTGTACCCCACTGCCGTGAACTTTAGAGAGAACAAGCTTCACAGCTGTAGCAACCTTCCGTGCCTCCTGCGATCTCTTGCTAGCCCTGATCCAGATGTGATAAGCGGAGCGCAACGACGCGACGATTGCCTCTTGCGTCGGGGACGCTTGGTCCAGTTGCACCCCGCTTTCCATAAGCTCAGAATCCAGTGGGATGGGAGCAATGAGTTCCTCATCAAGCTCGACTACCAAGACGGTAGTCGCGAGTAAGAAGTCTTGCGCAATAATGGAAGACATGTACCAGCTCAAGGTAGAGAGACGCCACCCTGGTGAAGTTAGTCGACCTCCTGGTTGGACCTCAGCGTCAAGCTTGCTCTGGAGGTGAAGCATCTCTATAGCAGCGTTCAAGCAGACCCTGCGGGAGTATGTATATCTGCTATCGGTTCGGCCGAGTACGAAGTAGGGTCGATGCAACATAAGCTCGGCCTTCAAGAAGGCTACGTTCAAATACGTGTAGCGCATGAAGTCTGGTGATAAATCGGTACTAAGATCGTCGAAGGTGTTTGATGCTGGCGATTGTGGTATCTTTTCGAAGACATCTCTTAGTGTGGCGTCCATCTCCGTGATCTCTCCGTACGGTGGCAGCGAGGTAGCATTGACGAGATCTACAATCCTGGCCTGCACACTTCGCAACCTCGTGAGAACGATGGAGTAAAGCAGTTGCGTCAACTCAGTTTCGGGCCTTGAGGGTGGTAGTTCTAGCATGTCTTCGTGAAGGTCGTCTTCACCCAAGTTGCGGGGCTCCTGAGTATCGTACATTTGCGGCATGATCGTCCGTGGCAGTCCGGCTTGAGAAGAGGTGGTAAAATCTAGCGACATGACTACGAGCCATTTACGACGCCTCAGCTCACCTTCGTGAGGCGAGATGTTCGGAAATCTCGACGGGTCCCTGTGGTATCCCATTCGGAAACAAAGACGTACAAGCATGCCAACAAGCATGTAGATGCTGAACTGGCTGTCGGTTGAGCGTAGAAATTCGGTACCAAAATACAACAAGAACGCTTCGATCGTGTATGGCGGTGTTTTGGTGTAGTTTGCAAGAATCATACCTAGATATCGACGTACGGACTCAGCTGTTGCATCACATGTAGTTTGTACCCAATTTCTGCTTACATTGCGCAGCCTTCTCGCGATAGAAGTTGATCCGCGCCAGATCAGGAGCCAGTTCAGTATCGCCAAGCTGATGAGCGTTTACCGCGGCTTGAAAACGAAAGCCAAGTGCCAGTGCAGCGTAGAGTACACCCAACCACATAGTTGAAGTTTCCGATGGTTGTGTCCACAGCTCATTGTACTGTATGATCATTAGCTACTAGAGGTGGAAATGATCATATGACCTCACCTGTTTGAGAAAGGTTGGCTTGTGGATGAGGGCTGGAGACATCAGTGGACGCTCTTCAACCGAGGTAGTGAGCATACTTGGATGAGATTCCATTGATATGAAGAATGTATCAATGAGACGATCCGCTTCTAGCCGCGGAGGAAGAGCAGCGAGGAGCTCTTCTCTAGTCGCATGGGCATTACGTCCAAACAGCAGCTCTGGACCGGGTACTTCATTCACCACTTCATCATCCGGATCGGGCGATACGGGCACCTGGTCGAGATGTTCGCGCAGCTCTGATATCTGGGCTGGAATTAGAGAGGTAAGAGTCTCTGTGAGAGGTTTCACGTACGCTATCAAGTATGCTTGTCCAATGTCCACTGTTCGTATAGCTTGTTGCATCGCAGCTGAGATTTACGCGATCCGGCGTGCCAGGCAAGTCGCCATTGTTCCCTCCGTTATGATGTTGCCGCACTTGTGATGGGCTAGATAGCGCGGGATTAGCTTTATCAACTGCGTTTCCACCGATGAGATTGGTGACGAGCTTCTCGAGTTGATCAATCCTGTCATGGACGCTGTTTGGGATTTTGGGTTCCTTCTGCACTGGTGGGTTGCGAACATAGACGCACGACAGCGAGAGTCCGCGATCGACACATGTTTTGCATGGCTGCTGTCGATCACATTTCAACCTCCAGTCAATTAGCATGCAATTCTTTTGGGCAGGTAAGCTGATTGTTTACTTGCGTCGTCGACAAAGGGTGCAACTTAAGATGGGCTTGTCTCTTCGTCGACTTGGAGGTACCACTCTCGACGTCTGACCATCCACGCTCATTTCGAGTAGTATTGTCACAGTGGGTCAAAACAAGGCGTAAGGGCACAACTCGCGTTGTTACGAAGATGCCTTCGGGGCGGCCATCATGCCCGATGCCGAGGCTAACCGCTTCGGCCGAACACCCCCCGCATTCCATCTCAGCTTACGTCACTGTCAGCAATCATAATGTTCCTACTGTAGTTCGCGACTGCACCGGTGGAGATTATCCTAAAGACCGTTGCATTCTAATCATCCTTCTCGTTGTCCGACCAGCTAAATCGCTGGCACACATGCTAAAGCCGCCATCTATCCAGTTCCTGCTCCGCCTGGTCATTGCCTGTGCTCCACACGGGCACAGTTCTGATCACGCGATCCCCGACTCAGCTTCCGGTGGCAGTCAATAGACTTTTTTTTATCCAAGGAATCGGGCTGTCGCTCCTAACTTTCGGCATCACTACAGACTATCATGTGCCCATCCATCAAGCGATTACAGTTACGACCTATCTTGTTTTTCTGGGTTGGGCGAAGGTACCTTTTCGAAGTCTTCATCCATCCTAGAGGTATGACATCCAGTTCATGTCCATGGAAGTATGCCTGTAAAGCAGTGCCCCAAAACAGGCGCCACGATTCGGATTTGACATTCCGGAGGCCGATACGCTTAATGGCATGCTGGGGCGCGCGTTGAGCATGTGGAACGAGGCGACACACAGGTTTGAGCCAAATCGTGGTAATCGTCCGGTTTTGCGGCGTGGACAAAATGGACGTTAGGTCTTCCCACCTCTTGAAGTCTCCGATATCGAAGGTGGACAAGCGGTAGAAGAGTGGAGTCGCTTCACAGCGCATTTGCTTACATGCGAAGAGGAGGCCAACAGGCTCGCGGTTAGAGATTGGCGCACCTTCGTATGTTGACGAAATCGACTTGATCGTTCTGCCTAGACAGCTGTATTCCCAGATTTTATTACGCAGCTCACCAGGAAGCCGAAGAAGAGCCGAGGTAAGCTGATTTCTCTTTGTACTATGCCTATTAGCGATTGATCAACGAACATGCAAGGCTGCTTACATGGCTTGTATTCTACTGGGAGCCATAATCCAATCCTGCATCTCTGATGTAAGTGTTGAGGACATAGTGATGGTTGAACTTGGATACTGAAACTGAATTATAAGGGGGTATAGCTGGTTATTACAACCGCAGATCTAAGAGCCCGTGGGAATTTAATGGAAGTGCCTTAGCTTAAGCTTCCGGGGGCATACAACCTCCCATTCACCCCCGTGCCTTGGCGACCTGCAATCGACCCGACACATACGTTGTGAAATTGGATAGGCAACTAACAACTGACGACGACCAGAATCGACCCACATTCACGGTTGTCCATCATCGGCAGCTCTCAGGATACCCTCCAGTCCTGCCTCAAATACAATCTCGATGGCTGGCTTCCCATAAACAAGGCGAAATGCGCGCACAAGGTCAGCCCTAGTATCGGAACTGAGGAGTGACAATTGTAGCCTCGAACCTTTGACGTGAACCGTGTTCAAAGCCGGGAACGCGTTTGCGTTAGCCCTCCCTTGAAGTTCAACCTCTTCCTGGAACCATTTGGCCGGATAGGCCCAGTGTACATATTGGAATTCTACCGACAACATAGAAATTTGAATCGAGGTGATCCGCGCACACCGCTCAGCTCCAATGGCGACGATAGCGGCCTCGTAGCTTTAAGGCATGACCAGTTCCATTTCGAACGTCGCTGTAGAAATGAAGAGTGAGTTGGCTTCATGGCGGAGCTGCTGACAGCTGCAAATGAGACCGACAGGGTTGGGCTTTGTTCGCCTTTCCGCGGATGATACGTATCATAGAATCTGCAAACGTGAATAGATAGATGAGGTTGCGAAGTTCTGCAGGAAGTCGTAGAAGAGACGATGCAAGTCAGTTGACTCGCGCACTATTTCAGTCAGTGATTACATATGTATGTACCCGTGTCTTGAACAGTAGTGTACGCGTTAGCCTTCAAGGTAGAGATGTGAGCTCACATCTGGTCGCCTGTTGTAGTCGTCAAACCGGTTGACGCGGGGTTGAGCGCCATGATGCAGTGGTCACTGTAGTAAAGAGTAGCTGTTATGATCTCGAACTGGGCGCCAGACTATAGAAAATCGAAAACGGAGGGAGATGTTGCCCTGCAGTTTTCATGGTCTGCCCAAACAGGCTAGGTGCTTCGTAGGTAGGCAATGACGTCATTGGCTGCTACCTCTAGAGAATGCAGCTTCTACCATCTCACAACTCAGCAGACATGTGCAGCGCGGAAGCTTTAGCATTGCCAGAACGACCTTCTCGGCGACTAGTCAGGCTGTCTACATGTCAACGAGAACAAAGATGTCGCCAGTCTTCGCTACACGCCTGATGCGTCGCCCGCAACCCCACACGCGCCCTTCCGCCACCGAAAGCATCATTGATAGTTTGTCCGGCCTACGAGTTCGACATCCGACTCCGAGAAATCCTCGCGCTTGACTTGGATATCGACAACCTTCGAGATACCACCCAGAGACAGTCGATGACCTGATCTTCGTATACGATAGCGATCGTCACTAGAGACGTAGCTGCTCTTCCCGGAGCCTGAGGATATGCTGCATATCCTTGAAATTGTATGCTGGTATATCGCATGCATGGCAGGCATGCATGCGACTACGATAAAGAGGTTGGCTTCGGTCACACACCAGTAAACACCGGATACGTTGTCGTCTATGATTGCGCCGTCAGTCATTGTGCAGCCAACAGGAGGAGCAGTACTCACAAGTCGGATTTGAGCTCTGATCGAATCGGACGAGAGCCCATAAGCGAAGGCAACTGACGATGAAGATGATGAAGCCCACAGCGAACATAGAGATAATCTGGACCTTCTTCTTCCAGGACATCTGTAGTCTCGCTAACATGGGCAATGGTAGCGATAGGATTGCCACGTCGAGCATGATTTCAATGGCGCCGCGAATGAATCCAAATAGCCGAACATCGACGGTGCATAGGCCACTTGTTCCGCCTTTCCACCCGTCCCAGAAGAATGAGATAGGTTGGCATTGAAACATCATGGCTCCTGTATTGCCGATACCGAAGCCGGTAACAATCCCCATCAGGATATACGTGGTTGTCCGTAGTTTTGGCGAGGTTGCGATCCGCAGGTAAAAGGCCAGGATGGACAGTTGACAGAAGGCTTCTGCGATTTGGTACATGAAATAGGTAACGTACAACCACTGCAGCAGAATTTAGCTTCAGAACGGGCGCTCAAGGCGAGGCTTACCTTGAAGCTATTTGTTATCGCCGCTGGCGATATCCCCCACATGTCTCTTCCGAATCCGAGACGACCCGCTAGGAGACCCATCAGTTGACCGTTGCATCTCTAAATGGAATGTTGGGAGTGATTTACCGACGATGACAGGGACGTTCTGAAACAACGAGGCCAACTACCTTCCGTCAGCTCTAGCACCCCGCACGCTCAACGTTCATGACTTACTCCAGATAGCCCGATGAGCAGGTCGTCTAGGCCAAGCTTGGCTTTGGCTGAAAAGAACCGGTCTGTCAGTCGCAAGACAACCATTAGTACAGCAAGAGCGCCAATAGAGGCCGTTACAGCGATCATTGTCTCGCTCTCATCCCTGATCGGTATGCCACAAGCTGCGTAGGTTTGGTTAGTCGCACTAAGTGATGCGGGCACAGTGCAATTTGCAGCATTGCAATTCGCAGATTTTGTCTGGAAGGCCGTGTCGGCACACAGACAACCGAAGTCATCTGGTTTGCAACTGCTCGAGGGTACAAGAGCTTGGAAGCACTTTACCTGCGGTTCTCAGTTCAATGCCACGAAAGCTCAATCATCAACTAACTGCACAGGTCGGTAGTTTTCGCAGGAAATCGTCTTGCGCGAGTAAAGGCAGCTCAAAGATGGCGAGTGCTGCAAAGCACCGGAAGATCTTCATCGCGACGATGGCCGAGTGAAAAGATGTGTAGCGGCGCAATATCTGCTACGAAGGAAGTATTTGGGGTATATGTCCAACATGACGCATGATCTATAGCTCAGGTCAGCGACGATCCGTTAAGGGGATTACCTTCTTGAGCGTTTGACAGCTCGCAGGATCCGAAGGAATATGGGCGTGGTTTCAGTCGCCCCATCAAACTACCATGCCTTGGAAAGATACGCGCGCAATGGGAGACGATCACTGGTAGGCTCCAGGGCTTGCCCTTTTCTGGCAGGTCGGTGCCGCAACCAACAAAATCGACGTTCATAACTTGACGGATTTACCCTTTCGGCACGGCCCAAATCCCACGGGAATTACTGCGCTTTATCTCACTGGCGGAGAAGTTCCCGAGCACTTTGTATCTGCACCAATGCGGCGCAGTCGTTCTAAGCGAACCGTTATCACGCAGCAAGATCCTAATACGGCGAAGGATCTGGCTTGGCAGGACAGGTATTTCGATTATGTTACAATCCCGGCAATTGCTTTTCCTCATCACTTTCATCACCATGGCTATCGTGCTATCAGCCACGATTGGCATTGCGTTCGCTACATTTGCCATAATTTACGCAACCCGTTGGCATCTAGGGAGAAAGAATGCTCTACCTCTTCCCCCGGGCCCAAAAGGCCTCCCACTTCTTGGAAATGTCAACGATATGCCCAAATCTGGCATGCTTGAGTGTCACCATTGGCTGCAGCACAAGGAATTTTACGGCCCCATCAGTTCCGTTACAGTGCTAGGGCAGACCTTCATCATCATTAACGACCCTGAGATCGCGTTTGAGCTGTTGCGCGATCGCTCGGCGATTCATTCTTCGAGACCTAGCCAAACCTTTAGCGGTGATATGTACGTCAATGGCTCGCAATAGCTACGTGGTGTTGTATGATCGGCCACTTGTTGACCACGCGAACAGGGTAGGATGGCGGCATGCCACTGCGATGGCTCCGTACTCCACAGAATGGAAAATCCAGCGAAAGAATATCACCAAGATAGCGAGCACGAACATCTCCGTGTCTGTATTCGATAAGGTGCAAGAGACGGAAGCTGCGCACTTCTTGCTCGACCTTCTGGACTCACCCGACAAGCTGTTTGATCATATACGAAAAGAGGCTGGCAGTGTGATTCTCAAGATCACCTACGGCTACACCACCGTATCCAGCGGCAACGATCCGTTCGTTGATCTGGCAGCCAAAACCATGCAACAGTTCGCAGATGCTACAGTTCCTGGGAAATGGTCGGTAGATATCTTTCCATTCTGTGAGTATCGCTTCTTAATGATTCACGCAGCTTCTGATATCGGCTAGTGCGGTACTTGCCAGCATGGCTGCCAGGTACGGGGTTCAAAGACACGGCGAGACGAATGGAAGCGCAGCTCCGCCAATGCACTAACCAGCCGTATGAGTTCGTGAAGAAGCAGATGAGAGAGAAGAGGCATTCGCCGTCTTTCTTGTCGCAATGCATTGAAGGACTCGGTTCGGACGCTGAGATGGAGTTTGTTCATAAGTGGGCTGCATTGGCGCTATACCTCGGCGGTGCTGATACGGTAAGCTTTTATGCAGATATCGGCGCCTCTATTACTTTACTGACTCAACCAATAGACTGTGTCGTCCATAATGACCTTCTTCCTTGCCATGACCGTATTCCCGGAAGTCCAAAAGAAGGCCCAAGAAGAGCTAGATCGCGTCATCGGCGTAAGCCGGTTACCCGTTAGTAAAGATCGCGAGAGCCTTCCGTATATCGAGGCAATTATGAAGGAGACACATCGCTGGCACCTCGTTTTACCAATGTGCCTTCCGCATTGCAGCACCGAAGAAGATACGTGTCGCGGGTATCGCATTCCAAAAGGCTCCATCCTTCTACCCAACAACTGGCATTTTACGCACGACCCCGAAGTCTATCCAGACCCGATGGTCTTCAGACCAGAGCGTTTCCTCGAAACACCCACTCATAAGAGTGAGCCTGACCCTAGAAACTTCATCTTCGGATATGGTCGCCGCATCTGCCCGGGCCGATACGTGGCGGATAACGCGCTCTTCATTACCATCGCCCAGAGTCTCGCGGTGTTTGACATCACCAAGTTCGTTGATGGAGATGGTCGCGTTGTGGAGCCGGAGGTGAAGTTTGAACCGGGAGCGATCAGTCACCCTGTGCCATACCGTTGTTCGATCAAACCGCGATCGGAGGATCATGAGCGGTTGATCAAGGCTTCAGAGCAATTGTTTCCTTGGGAGGAAAGTGACGCCAAAGAGCTGGAAAATATAAGCTGGTAATATAAGGGCAGGCGCCCGCCCAAGTACATGCGTGTTGCGTAAACTTCTTTACTACCTGCACGTTGTGAGCGTAGGGGTTTGCGAACGCGTAGCGTCTGTACCAAAACATCAGGTACAACGGAAGAATGGAAGACTTGTGGTGGGTGCGAGATAAGGTGCAAGCCATCCGGGGCAATTTTGATTTGGTGCGCACTGCCTATCTGCGGACCGCCCCTCTTTGTCGTCGTCTTTGTATAATGTTGAAATTCTCTCTAATGTACAAAGGCCGTCCAATGCCTGTGTCTACGACACGTTGCTGATAGCAATATCTCAGTCCATGTCACACACACGTTCCGCCATTGTGGCTTTTCCTACTCCTTCTTGGGTAGCGGATTGACAAACTTGTCCTCGTGGAGGTCTTCGTCTTTAGGCGCCACACCACGTTCTTGTAGCTGTTTGAGCGCCTCAGGGGCTACCTTCCCAATTTGGTGGCTCCTGTATTGATTGGTCTCAGAACGCATCAGCCACGTCAAACGACCCTCGATTTGCGTATCGTGGATGTTCTCGATCGCTTTATCTGCGCCCTCTTTGGTTGCAAAATCGATGAAGCAAAGAATGCGCGGTTCTTTCTTCTTATCGCCATAGAATGGCGCGAAGTCACTGAAGCGTTCGATGGTACCATGTTTGGCGAACTGCTCTTCAAGGATCCGCAGTGCGTTCTGTTTTTGTCTGGCAATGCTGGCATTGGACGTCCAACCGGGTGTCTGAACTCTAACCATCAAGCGACGACCTTCGAGCAATGGGCGTACAGCTTCGAGTGCAGCGGCGGGGCCCTCGTCAAAGAAGTAGCGAGTACCGTACTTGTGGTCTCGCTTGTCCTGCACAGGGCCCCAAACGAAGTCGTCTTTGAGAGGCCTGACGATAAGCTTCTTGCGCTGTATCTCTGCGTCATTGAGCTCTGCAATGATCTTGGCAGCCTCTGCTTCGCTTCCAAGTTCTGCGAAACACCTGGTGTCGTTCTGGAAAGAGTAGCGATCAAGACGCATCTGCAATCTCTTGCTGGGTGATCATTAGCTCGGAATCCTGTTTGCGAAATCTTCAAAGAAATGTTATAAGACGTACACGGTGCATCCTTTTGATCGTAGTAGATCCTCGACCTCTCTTCTGGTCAGTCGTTTTGGTATACCCAATAAAGCAACCCCTGATGATGATGCGCTTGATGTCGGAGTGCGCGCATCAGTGAGTGCAATCTCTGGTCCTCTCGACGGTGTTTCGATGATATTTTCCCGCCTCAGCTGGCTGGCAGCGAACTCTCGCTTCGTAATTGATGTTCTGATCAACGGAACAGCTGATTGAGCAACGCGTACGGAAGGTGTTGTCCGAGCAAAGAGACAGCGCCCACGAGAGAGTATCCTGGGTACAGCCATAGTCAATTGTGTTAGTCCGAAGGTGATGGTATGTGCATCCGCAATCGATGATGGCGAATGATCGCGTCTACTCGAAAAGACGCCAGCCATTATCGCGCTAAACAGAGAAAGTTCCTTGGCTTGCCAAGACCTGGCTTATCGATAACACGGTCACGAAAGCAGCGAAACTGCGGCCGTCACGCCGTTCAGTCCTGTGCAACGAATAGCTCGACCAAGCTTTCGCCCACCTGGTATACTGGCACGAAAGAAAAGATTTGATCAAAGGCTTGCAAGGAATTTAACAAGATAGTTCATGAATCAAGCTACTTAGGTACTTAGGCATCATCTAGCCCTAAACTGTAAGACTGGCCCGTCTTTCTTGCTCGCAAAGACGTCCTGGATCTGATACTCAGACGCCCTTGTCCTACCGACTTCCAAGTCCTTGCTTCCAGCACCCAATGTCGTGCCTGGTGCCAGTCTCAAATCATACAAGTAAAGTACCCTGGCAATCGTTACCGACAGCTCAACATACGCGAGACCCTTGCCAATGCATCCACGAGGGCCGATGCTGAAGGGGTTGTACGCCGACTGCGCTGCCTGAAGACTGCTATGAAGCGGGTTCGCGGATGGATCAGATAGCCATCGCTCAGGAATGTAGTCGAACGGTTGAGGGAAGTAGTCGGCATTGTGGTGAATCGCGTAGATTGGGACGCCCACGTCGCATCCGGCAGGAATGTGGCGACCATCGATATCCAGACCACCGGCAAGGACTTCTCGGGGAAGAGCACCGGCGACTGGGGGTGTCATGCGCATGGTCTCATCGATGCAAGCGCGTAGGAATGAGCAGCCGCTAAGCTTCGGTCCGGTTACGATTTCCTCAACATCATTGAATGTTTCCCGGATCTCTTTGCAGACTTTCTGCATCGCTGCGGGGTTGTGTGCGAGGTAGAAGAAGGCACCAGCCATAGCCGTTGAAGTTGTATCGGAACCAGCGATGATCAGCAAGTTCGATTCGCCCCAAAGCTCATCCATGCTGAAGCCCTTGCCGGTTTCTGGGTCCTTCGCGTTGAGCAGGTAGTAGAAGAAGTCTTTACGATCAACGTCGACGCCCAACTTTGTTCGCTCCATAGCCTGGCCCTTGCTGTACTGCATGTACTGCGCCCGCTGGCCTGCAATCTTGCGGAAGAAGAGCTTGTCTAGGTGCCAGTTGTGAATGGTAAGGTGAGTTCCGCAGATGAGATGTCGGTGTGCCGCGTTGCCGACCAGCTGAGTTGCGAAACGATTGGTAGGGCTTTCCAACATGCCAAAAGCCTTGCCGAATACTAGATCACCCATGATGTCGAATACGAGCCACTCGCACCAATGCGCAGCGTTCCAAGCGTCGTTCCAGCCACCATCCTTCTCATCGGCGAGGCTCTTCTCGGCAGACCAATTGTTGCTCTTGCGTCCGAGCAGTTCGCAGCCAACACGTACATTTGCCAAGATATACTTCTCAAGACTCTTGATAGCCGAGTCGCTGAAGGCGTGGCTCATGACACGTCTCTTGCGTGCATGTTGCATCTTGTCAATAGAGCTATGGACGCTAACCGCTTTGGGTGTGCTGGGGAACGCTTCGTAAAACGACGCCTTCTTGACGTTTGATCGGAATCCATAGATGGTCTTTAGACCAGTGGCGGTGTTGACAGAAAGTAGATTCGGTCCAAGACGGACGTACGGTCCATATTGCTCGTGCGCGCGGTGGAAAGCGAGATGCCGAGAGCCCTTGTAGGCGTAGTACGCCATATAGATATCTGTGATCTTTGCGAGGAAAGGGCCTGGGTATGATGCAAGAGGATGGAAAGTCAGGCGATAAAAGATCACTCCGAAGATCTGAGCATGGTGTTAGCTTTTAATGCCATGAGAACGGGGAGCAACGTACGTAGAGAACCAGCGCTCCGAAGATGGAGGCCAGTAGGAATAGAATTGCCATATTTGCGACAGCTCAAGGCGAGTTGAATGTGTGTTGTGTTATTGATATCGAACAAAGACCATTGCCACAAACACGCGTGCAGTTGTACAATTCGTGTGCACGAAGGAGAGTACCAAAATCGTTTCACCAACGAGATCCTGTGCAGATAAAGGTACATAAGTACTCATTCACCCTCCACCACCATCCGCAGCTCCCGCAATACCCTCCCTGATCCCAGCTCCATCGCGATGACAAAGAAAAACAGCGTTGTGGAGTAGTCTCGTGCCCTTCTCATCGCAGAATCGGCGAGCGGGTGTCTTGGGTGTACGTAGCGGCGTGTCACGGCTAATGTCGGATATCGATGCAGAACGCCGTGTCGCAATCACGTGCAGCGGATATCACAGCAAGCGAGGACACTAGTGCGGATACCCGTGTCATCCCACCTTTTTCGGGGTTGGAAGGGCGCGGATATCGTGCGCGTAAGCCTGGCAACAATCACGATTGCAGTGGGCAGTGGGTAGGAACGATTTTGCGTCATGCATACCTAGGTAGTCAACGACGCACACCTGGGCATGCACAGACGCTAGTTCAAATCATCTTGCACTCGCAGCCACACCATAACTTTACTGCAGCCAGCAGGTGGGAAGGTGATGTACGGTGGAGCTGCGAGCCATCTACTATCAATGCCTTCAGCCGGGACGCTTCTCAGATCCGGCAAAGTATCAATAGACCCAGCAATCAGAGGCGTTCATGCAGCGATGTTGACCGTGAAGCGCACCAGTACCTTGCGGGATGAGGGTTTCACAGAGGAATTGACAGTGAAAGAGTGATTCATCAAGAAGAGTGATTGAGATTAGAGCCAAAGCGACAGAGTGCGAGTGTACCTAAGTAGTCGCAGGTCTGATTAAGGAACGACAATGATGTTCGCGACACGCCTGACGAATGAAAAGGCGCGAGTATCAAAGCGGATAGTGCCGTCTTGGCATCCATCGAGCTTCGCGAACATCACCAAGCGTCACGATAGTCGACCCAAACGCGCAACAGCACGGCACCGGCCCATTGACCTATTGACACCCTTGCAGTCTGTCTGGAAGGCCAATCCCTCAAGATGTCTGTCGCCAAGAATGTGAAGACTACTGTCTTTTCGGTACGCAGCCCGAACCGATCTCGAATGCCTTTACTTCGCCGCCCCTCTTCAGCCATTAACCATTGCGAACACGGGTACTGACTGTAGACCTGTAGAAATACACTGTCCAGCCTACCGGAATCTATGCCGCGATTAACAGGCTCTTCGCGCTCGACCCCAAGCGCTCCACGGGTATCCCCATGAACCCGCAATTCCGCAACCCACCCCCAGGCGGTCTGGACCCCAACTCTTACGACGACCCCGTCACTCTTCCTGCCGCTGATATCGCCGAGAACCCATACTGGAAGCGCGACGTGCGACGACGATACCCCAGGCTCTCGACAGTCACCCAGTCCGACGCGGTCGCGCTGCTCGAAGTTGGAAGCGCGGCAGCACCCAAGCAGGAGCTGATTGGCGAGGCAGGCACAAAGTCGCTGGTTGCGGCGAAAGAGGAAGGCGCCAAGGGACTGGCGGTCGCGTTTGAGAAGAACACTGGACTTGCAAAGGATGTACTGGGTCCTGGTGGTATGCCTCCGCTACCAAGCGGGCTACACAACACCCTTGCTGGCGGACACAAGCGATACGAGCTGGAGAACGAGCAGTCATATGGCACAGCGTAGGTATTTTCATCTGATTTTACAGGAACGACACTAACGCGATACAGATACCCATGCCGGACGTTTGCTTAGAGTACAAGATGAACTGGGTAGGTAGAGAAAGATGATCCGTTTTCTGTATATATGGAGACATTTCTTCCATGCTTTCCGTGTAGCCATCAGTGAACTTTCACAACACCCCTTGTCATGAGCGCGTGGGAGTGTAGTAGGTGGAGCGCACGTGTCCGAATGTCTGATCCATGTCTCTTGTGTCTCACCGTGAGTTTGTGTCGATTCTTCACCTCGCATCCTTTGTTGTTCCTTATCGTCCGTCACCGCGTCGAGAAAGGAAAGCACGACGTGTGTTGATGTCTTGGCGCTGTTGACAGCGACTGCCTCGCCGTCACTTCCATATCCCAACTGCTCCCACCATCCACCCCCGCGTCGCTCCTGTCCTCTTTCCACATCGTCGCAACCGCAGTCATGAGCGCTGTGTCGGAGAAGGGACCAACAGAGCTGGGCGCTGATCCCCTCAACTTCATCTACGCCTGCTCGGTGTGTTGCGCCTCCTTCGCCGATGTCTACGAAGGCCACAACGAGACAGTCCGTGGCCTGTCAGATGGTATCAACCCGAAAGAGCGCCTTGTGACGCGCCTGTTCCTCGCCAGTTGCTGTCATGTCTTCTGCAGCAGTCATTTGGAGGGCGGCGGTAAGTGAAGCGCGACCGCACATTAGGCAGCTGCTGACAGCCACGACAGGACCGCCTTTCCACACAGCCGGACAGCGACCCCAATCACCCTGTCCCGTCTGTATCAAAGAGAAAGGCGACAGTGAGCCGCGCGATCTCTTCTCGATACGCGGCTTCAAGAAAGATGAATACGATCCTCAGATTCCGCTCGCATGGTTCACCGCGCCTCCCATCCGCCTCGATGGTAGCGGAAAAGAGATGGAGGCATTGCGCGTACGTCATGTCACCCAGAGGTCATGACACCAGCTAACAATAATCAGTTCCAGTATATTGCGCTTATTCGATACTGCCAGAACACCTATGCGACCCGCAAGCCCCTTCAAGAAGCCTTAACCAATATGGAGAAGAAACTGGCTAGTGTGCAGGATCTTGCCTCCAAGGAACACGCGAAAGTCGTTACACTCCAGCAAGAGAACGAGCGACTACGACTGCAGAAGGATCAGTTTCAAGCCATGAAAGCCGAGGTTCAGCGACTCCAGGGTCTCGATGAAGAGGTTGCGCATTTTCGCGATGTCAACCCAAAGGACCTCGCAACATTCCTGGCAAACAAGTCAGCAATTCGCCATTACTTGAAGCTTGTGCCTATGCTAGTCGAGTAGGCCGAATACGCCATGCTACGAGGCATTTGCTAACCGCTCCAGTCAAAACGAGAGGATGCAGAAGCGACTTGCCCAACTCGGCTTTGCGATGGCACTAGAACCTGTACCTAACTTCAAAGGCATTGACCCCCACGCATTCAATAGCGACGAAGCATCGCCTGAGCGCAGCGGACGATCGGACGGTAAATTACGAACAACTGCCTCCAGTCATACCGCCGGTAGATCGGCTCATACAACTGGGCGATTGGGAACAGCATCTTCTGGGTCCTTTGTCCCGCGACCCATGAAGCGGCAACGCCTCGAGTCACCCCTTCCCACCAATACCCAAGTTGGCCATCCTTCAAGCCGAGATGCCATGCCACCTCCGCCAAAGCCGATGTCCAGGATGCAATCCATGCGCAAGATGTTTCCGAGCCTGCGAAAGAAGTTCTCCAGTGACCGCTCCAGGTCCGCAGCAGATGGATCCTTCGAGGACGATGCAGACGTGCAAATGTATGATAACGGACACTGGCAAGATGTTGAAGTCAGTCGTCACCCGGGACGCGATGACTTCCGCGACGAGACACCGTACATGTCGGGAGCGCTGCCCGTAGAACAGCCCCATCAAGCCTCTGACGTTCGAGGATCGCAGCTACTTGCTAGCGTAGGCCTCAAAGACAACCGGCCAAACTTCACATTCCGAGCATCGTCTCCAGTCAAGATGGACAAGCAAAGCAGTGGCCATTGTCCGGTTCATTTGCCTACTGAGCCTTCATACATTCGTCTTATGGATGGTTTGTCGCGCGACAATGGGATGGAGCTCGGTCTGAAAGATCCTCGCGAGCAGACAAGCACGGACTATCGTAACGATGGCAGGAATAGGCAAGTACTACCTGCTTATCGACATGAGCACAACGCCGAACGAGTTGATGACCGGAGGCCTTTGGATCTTGGACATCCGTTCATGCACCAGTCGCCACACAGATCTCCGGCCTCTGTCGATGCGCGTCAATATCCTTCTAGCGACCACCAGACTAACGAATACACAAACAGAGCTCACGGCATGCCGGATCTTGGCCCCACTACGCCAGCACCGAGGCGCCAACAAAATCCCGGCCATCAGATCGAGAGTGTAGTAAGTCCCTATTTCCGAACCGGTCATAACCAGGCCCGAGTCCATCCATCGCCCGGCCGCGCTGAACTTCAGAATAGTTCCGATCATTCCGGCGATTATCAGTCACGAAGGTCAAGGACGAACCAACCTCGGGCCGGCTGGGTTGAGGCTCGCAGTCTAAACGGTCTCTCATTCTTCGATTCACCCGTCGATTCTAGGAACGAGCCTATCGAGGTGGACCACCGCCGCAGATTGGTAGAGCTAGCACCAACGTCATACTCACATCAGCATCAAAGACGTCATCTTAATTCACGTGGCTTCATCATACGCCCGGAAGAGGGACGCTCACCGTATACCAGCGACAGTGCCTATGGCTCTTCCCAAAACCGAGAACTTTACAATAGAGACGCGCCCAATTATTCCCAAGCAGTGGTTGATGTACCGCCCGCATATCGCCCAAGTCGTTCCCGCATCGGTCAGGTGCCCTCTATCATGCCTTCCATTGTTCCAAGCCGTCCACCTGCCCGGGTCCAACCTCAATGGGAGAACCTGCAGCGAGCGGGCGTCAGGAGTAGTCGTAATGCTTTCAGTAGTGTTGCTGGGAACAATTATGCTGCGCCTTCGAGGACTGTCTTCCCCAGCGCTGGTCGGCGCAATGTTAGACGGTAAAGGCAACCTATGCGTTTCTTTTCCTATCGAATAGTCAATTGGAGCACTTGGCTTCATGAATGGCCATTGTCGCATGGCGATTCGGCGTGTGTATGACCGGACAAAGAAATGATTAGATTTCCAGTTCTGCTATCAGCGATTTTCATCTGTGAGCTACTCCTGCAAGACAAAATTTTAGGTACGATCAGCGTCAACCTCGTCTATATGCTCAACTGTTAAACACCCCTTTATGACTACGATTGCAGCATGCAAAACGGAGATGCGCACCGCGTTCCGCAGACCGTTCGATGCGACGATCAAAAACCATCGCAGTGAGCGGATTTGCTGTCACGCATCGCGTTCAATCAAGAGTTTGCCCCATGATGCTTAGCACGCCCACGCCTTCCCTCTCTGAACACGGAGTCTGTCGATTCGACTCACATGTGGGTAGACAGCCGGCAGATGGGAAGCTAGGACGAATGCGGTAAGGATCAAGGAGGTTTAATATGCGAGGACTATGCAACGAAGCTTCCTCTGCATGCAAGGGCCAATGCCGATTTTCGATGACATTCATTGGCGGAGTATCATGCGCAACTTATTGTGTCACATACGCACCTGATTACTTATTCTCCATGTTGCAGAACTTCGACAGTTGGCGCGATGGTTTCATCTTAGCGTTTTTCTTTGCCGACTGGCCGTTGAAGCCCGCCCACGAATCGTAACCCCTGCGTCCCCGCAAAGCCACCGCGCATGACCCACGATCCCGGTTATTGAAGCTTCCCTTAATATGACCAAGCAATCTATCAGGCACCGCGGCTTCAAAGCTTCAGAACTATGATGCCACATCCATCACTTTCATATTGGCATCAGATGAAGGCCCACTCATTGCCATGGAAGAAACGGAAGGCAAAGCCCGTCCATTTGTGGGGCATTGAATCATTGGCATGCGAACTATTCGCAGTATAAGAATAATGTTTGCCCAGCGGGTGAAACATAGGACTGTGGAAGTATTCTTCGCTTCTCTACACCATGCTATTCAAAACTCTTTTGGCGGCGGCCGCTTTGGCCAGCACCGCTTTCGCGGCTCCTGCTGAAAAACGCCAAACCTCTCGCAAGATGAAGTGGTTCGGTATTAACGAGTCTGGTGCCGAATTTGGCGAGAAGAACTTCACAGGTGTCTACGGAAAAGAATACACCTGGTACGATCTCAACACCATCGACAAGTTCATGGACGAGGGAATGAACATGTTCCGCCTGAACTTCTGTAAGTCACACAAACCCCATATCCCACATCTTCCCAAAGACCACGACCTAACACCCCCCAGTAATGGAGCGCTTAACCCCCAACTCCCTCACCGGCGCCTTCGACCCCCTCTACCTCGGCAACCTCACCGAGCAAGTAAACCACATAACCTCCAAAGGCTCGTACGCCATGATTCAACCTCATAATTATGGCCGCTTCCTGGGAAACATCATCACCGACACCGCCGCCTTCAAAACCTGGTGGACCAACGTCGCCGCCGAATACAAAGACAACGACCTCGTCGTCTTCGACACAAACAACGAATACCACGACATGGACCAACAACTCGTCTTCGACCTAAACCAAGCCGCCATCGACGGTGTCCGCGCCGCAGGCGCCACTAAACAATACATCACCCCCGAAGGCAACAGCTGGACCGGCGCGTGGACGTGGATTTCCTCTGGCAATGGCGCCAGCATGGTTAATCTGAAAGACCCCGAGAACAAACTCGTGTACCAAATGCACCAGTACCTCGACACTGACGGCTCTGGTACTTCGGCCACGTGTGTTAGCGCCACGATTTTCAAAGAGAGGCTTCAGGCTGCGACTAAGTGGCTCAAGGATAATAAGAAGCAGGGTGTGATTGGTGAGTTTGCGGGTGGGAACAATGCGCAGTGTATTTCTGCGTTGCAGGATGGGTTGAAGTACATGGGCGAGAACAGCGATGTTTGGCTCGGAGGAATCTGGTGGGCGGCCGGGCCGTGGTGGGCGGATTATATTTATAATATGGAGCCTACGACGGGAGTTGCTTGGACGGGGATTTTACCCAAGATTAAGAGTTACTTCCTGTAGATGGGGAGGGCTCGTGAGATTGAGGGTGGTTGTATATACGTTACTCTTTTCTTCTTGTAGATATTCATATAAAGAAGCTTTCATTCGCTACCGTTCCTGCTCACCTCAATGCACCCCGTGCTGTATCCAACCATCCCCATCTAAGGCTGCCCCTCCCAAGCCCTACTCAAATACTCCTCCGCACTCATCAACTTGTACTCGGGGAACCGCTGATTAAACTCATCACTAACATCCCAAGCCCCCCTCCTAATCGCCTCAAAGAACATGATGACAAACTGCTTGCTGAAACCCTCCCTCACCTCATCCGTAACAGTAGGATGACTGATCAACGGCAACCAACTCGCTTTCAATTCTCCCTTGGCTAGATCCTCACTCTTGACATACTCGACGAGCCAGTCGCCGCCTCTGATCTTCTTGCCTAGAGCAAGCAGTTCGTTGATGGAAGTACGGCATCCCCTAATACCACCGATCTTCGGCCACGGACGCGTGTCGTCTAGCGCGCGAGCGAGGATCTCACAGTCGTCTTGGATGGCGGTGATGACGATGGGTTGGTTTCCATCGTCTAAAACCATGGCACGTCGGTTTTCAAAATCGAGGAAGAAGGGCCAGGTGTAGAGGTCGCGTTCGAGCGGGTATGGATGCGCGAAGTAGTCCATGAAGATGGAGGGTTGGAAGAGGCAGTACTGCATCGATCCTAGTTCGCCCTTGGCATCCAGGTCTTCGAGGTACTTCCGGATGAAGTCTTTGTTGTCGTAGCTGGGAACGCCGGCGTAGTTTGCGATGCCCCATTCGCTGGGTGCGAAGCGGGAGACGCCTGCGGCGATGGCGGCATGGATTAGGTTCTTCTGGGCGACGTTGTCGGTGTCGAGGTGGACGACGAAGAAGGATAGGAGGGTATGGAAGCCCTGGAGAGCCGTGGTGAGGCCATTGAGGTCTGTGTAGTCGACTTGCTTGTAGGTGACTTTGGGGGATGGGTGGGGTTTAGTTGGGGCGGACCGCGTGAAGATGGTGATGTCGTGCTTGCCGGAGGCGATTGTGGACTTGAGCAAGTTGGTTGCGACGTCTTTGGACCGCGTTAGCAAGGTACGGTATTTCTAGCAATGGATGAGTGCCATCTAGTGTCTCGATAGAGGCGGGGTAGGCATATGGAATGGGAGGAAGCATACTTCCGGTGCCGCCTGCGACTGCGATCTTGACCATGATTGCACGTGATTCTATATCGCTCTTCTGATGTCGAAGGATTCAACTGTCAGCGCTACGGAGTACATGCTCCCTCTTTTTGTATCTTTAACGGCCGCTATCTATTGCTCCGCTTTGAGCCCCCGCAATTTTTCGCTGCGAAGGCGTGTCTTCGGCGGTGTACGGCATGGTCCTGACTCGTGTCGCAAAACCTCAAGATCTGGAGCTACGATCTCGGCTATCGCGATACCATTGATGTTTGAGTATTTCTTGTAATGCTCGACGCATACCGATTGCATGATAAGCTGCGACTGGGCTGAGCGCCCTTTACCGATGTTGCCGGCGATCTCATACGAGCTGCCACAAGAGCGCGGTGCTGTACGACCCAACGTAATGTGTTGCTTGGTAAGCGTTGACTGTTGATCTTGGTTGACTTCAAATGCACAGTGCGGCGAATCGAAACGCCTTTGTTAAGTACTGCGAGACAATAGATTGGCCGACCAGGTTTGAGAATGAGAATGTAGAAAAGATTGGAAAGACAGAAGAAGTGACAAAGACCGTAAGTGGCGAACAGATGGATGTCCGTAAGTAAATGTCAAGTAAATGGCAGCAAAACATCGTAATGCTCAAGCATCGATCAACGGTACCGCCGGTAAAGGCTTCTCGGGCAGGGGTTTACTCGGCAGCGGCTTCAACGCATCCTCATACGCCGGTGGTCTTGAGGAGCTGCCTTCATCCGGATCATCGCGGTACGCGCCGTGAGCGTTCAGCAGTGCGCCTTCTTCTTCAGCCACCCTATCCCTCCTCATGTTCTCCCAGACATCCTCCATGCCGTCCCACTTCATGAGCTCGCGCTGCGCAACGATCCACCAATACATCTTCCATAGAAGAAAGATAGTGAACAAGCCGCCAACAACGCTGCTGAAGATGACCCAGAACAGGCCCCACCATTCCCAGTGAACAAATTCGCCGAACATGTCGCGAAGCGTTCCTTTCTTGCCGTAGTATCCCCATTCTTCTTTGCGATACAGAAATCGGCTCCCCTCTAGTTCCCAGACGTCGCTGCCAAGGAAGTGACCTATTGTGCCCCAAATCGTCAAAGACTTCTTGAGAGGAAAGGTGTAGGCTCGAGCTACTAGGCGCACATCGACGATTTGGTACTCGTAGATCTGGTCGTCCGTGGTAGATTGGCCGAACGGGTCGGCGACCTTGGCTGGTCCTCCTTTGTCTCCTCTCTTCAATGGTATTCCTTTGATGCGCATCCACAGCATCTTCTGCTCCGGGTTGTTGAACTTCCAAAGAGGGTCATCGGGGTACCGCGACTTCCCAATCACGTCCAGCGCAACGCTCCAGTATTCCGCATGCGCGTCATCGCCTTCTTGGTTATCGCTCGGGTTCGTGATATATAAATAATCGATATACATTCGCGGGGCATGTGTCAAAGGTACTTCGTGGCACCATCGTCCTCTGTCACTCCAGCTTTCTCGACAATACGGGTCTTCGGAAGTTAGGCCCCAGTACAGTTCCGCATGGGAGAAGTTCTGGCGATATCGTGTAACGAGGAAGGTGGACGGTGTGGGTATGGTCGGTAAGGGATATAGCGGGCGATCGTTGAGGAGGACTGTGCGATTATCGTGCGTGAGAGTTACGTTGAGAAGCTATAGCGCTCAGGCTGGTTAGCACCGCTCTTTAGGCACATGCTGGACTTAGGCTCGACACTTATACATACAAGCACATTATCACCAGTTATGACCTCGTGATCTTCAGGGTCCTCATAAGGGCAGTCCTTGCATTCTATCTTCGCGATGTAGGACGATCCGGGTACCACGGCTGCGACCGGTGCGATGGGCGCCTCGCAACCTTCAGGCACTTTTCCTCTTCCATCCAGGTCGCAGTCGAGGACTTCGGGAATATCTGCGGCATAGGCCGAGGACAGAAGGCCGGCCAGCAGCGCGATACCGGACAGCAGCATGGTGGGCTGGTGGTGGAATGATCGAAGGCAGGTGCCTGGCGCTCGTCGCTGCCGCCGCTGTCAGGGGCGTAGCGTGGCGGAGCCTTGCAGGGGTGTCGCGCGATCAGCCGGCGATCATGAGGCACGAACGCTGGTTCCCCCGCCAAACTTCTCTGCCACCTCCGACATGCCGCATCGGAGGATATTGATGTTGACGGCGATGCCATCATTATGTTCCCATGTCTCATGGAGTGTACTAATACCACTGAGGTCTATTGCTTACGTGACTATGCTCTGCCACAGGGAGCCAAGTCGAGCAGACCATTGACATCCTCCCTCTGTAAAACGAACCCTTTGTCTACGTCCAGCGGTTGCTATCTTCTGCTCACATCAAGCGTGGTTGCTATAAGTGATGTCTTCTTCGCGGCGGTTCCTTTCTATTTGCTATCAAACCATGTCGAACACATGTCTACTCAATGGTATCCTCTCTGCTACTCCCATCGTCTTCCACCGCGATTATGGCGCAGCTTTCCTGTGAGCGACGTAGTGGAAACATCATTAGAGTCGACGATCACCTGGAGATTGAATTCCACCGGACATCCATCGATCCAAACCGACATCTGGCCGATCTGCTTCCTGACGACGGTATATTTCCTCTGCATTTTCTGCAAAGAGATAGCAATCGGCAGCAGTTTGATGAGGCAAAATGTAGGGGGCTGTATCTACACATGAGCCGTGAGTTAGATACCAGCGGATCGACTCAGATGTGCTAACCATGGAGCAACTGCAGAGAGTGAAGCCATGTGGATCAAGCATGACGCAGACAGGCTGTACGTGATCCGTATCTACGTCGACAACGTGAATGTGGTAACAGGCCAAACTTCGCAAGTACAAGGCCAGCAAGATTATTTTATCGTGCCCGATCAGGCCTTCGTCAATGGACACAAATCCAACATCAATGCGCTAACGACACAGTTTCGCCGTCCACCGTATGCAGCCAATTCTACACAGCAAGATGCCCAGACCATACGTTTCGAGATAACGCCATCCACGAACACTAAAACACTAACAGTAATCGATGTGGGTGTTGAGAGTCAAGAACTTTGCCAAGCTGTGGTGACGTTACCCGGCATGACTGTCAGGGACTTCACGAGAAAGTATGAGCTTCAATTCGAAGACGGTGTTATTATATCGGCTAGTCTTACTAGTCAGGGAGAACAAGTTGACGGTATGATGAGCAATCATGTGATGTAACACAAGCTGACTCGATCGTAGACACTTCGTTATTTGCTGATTGCGAGAATCTTTCTGTACGTCTTAACGTCTCTTCACGACGAAGATCACGCTAAATGTCATTCATAGAATTACACAGTAGTACCGGATCACCGCGGCGGACAACTACGCTCTCGCCTGCTCAAACTCGACACTTATCCATCTATCGGATGGGAGCCACATCGCACAACTATCTTCAACGTTTACATGCTCAATTCGAAAGCAGCTTGCGACCTATTTGGTACGCCCAGGTTTGAAGGGATTGACAAAGAAGAAGAGAGGTTGCATGGAGTCGATGGCATTCTCGTAAAATTCGACCCCGAACCAGCATCAACAAGACCCCTGGTACCGTTTCGTAGAGTACCGCAACCCCTCGAGATCTATTGAGGGGCGCATGATACTATTTCCTAATACAACGAGGAGCATGGACGAAGTGGTCGAATCACCATGGTAAACGCTAAAGGCTGGGGGCTGGAAATCGACGAAAGGCGCTTGTCTCATATGTGAATATCTGATGTGAGTGGGTAATGTCGCATCAATCAAGTAGCCTAAGATCTTTCCAAACAACCTGCAAAGTGCGTTACGACTTCTGCGTGGCGATCGCGAATTCACGCATTAGATCTCAGCCACTCCTCCGTCTCCGTATCTTGCGTTCTCGCCCCTGCTGTCTGTCACGATTGCGGTCCGTAACGGCGTCGCTCGTGTAGTTATCGGCGTTGTTCCTGGGTTTCCTGTAGAGCCGGCGGCCCAGACGGTTGGCTACACTATGCTAGTCGAGATGACGGAACTTTAGGCGACGTTCCTTGATGCGAATGGCGCACGCGACAAATCAGTCGCGTCGAGTCGTGAAGTGGTTGGTTGTCGTTTCGAGTTGCTGGACCCTATGACGTCACTCATGAGATCACAACGCGTAACACACGACCTCGGTCCATGAATAGGTTTAACAACCCAACAACCTCACAACTCGAACACCTACACCAACAACTTCGAACTACCTACCGCCACGAATCTATCCAATTTTCAAACTATACAACCCAAACCACATACCAAGCCCACCAACCTCCGCCACAATGTCCAGTTCAACCTTCCAATCCTTCAGCACATCCTCCTCCAGCACAACCATCAACGGCCAAACAACCTCAAAGTCCGAACACACCTTCACAGACCCCAGCGGCACCCGCGTCGAGCGTACACATCAAGCTCCAGGCGAAGCGCCGCGCGTTGAGCGATTCGAAACGGATTCATCTGGAAGACAGCTAGAGGACCACAGACATGCGGATGCGAAGCGGATCCAGGATGTGACGGAAGAGGAGGACGCTAAGAGCAAAGAGAGGGAGTATGAGGAGAGGATGCAGGATGAGTATGCTAAGAGGGAGGGGGGTGCGTGAGTGAAAGGGATAAAGTGGACATAGTCGTTTTGAGTAGAGATATATCACGTCAAATACACATATCACAAAAGAGGTTTGCAGAATACAATGTGAGCGGGAAGACGCCACCGGCAAACAAGCAGGCAGCGAGGAGACTCCATTGACCTATGTACGCGGCCAGAGCGCGCCGAGAAGACACCCAGGAGGCTACAACCCCAGCCCAAACTCCCCAAACCCAGAACCAGAGAGAAAAGGCCGGAGCCAAACCATGTCGTCGTCGTCATCGTCGTTTTCGTCCTCGTCCTCATCCTCGTCCTCGTCCTCGTCGTCTTCGCGACAGTTGCTCAGCATAGTCGTGGAGAGCAACTGCATCGAGGGTGGCCAGGAAGCGGTGGAGCGGCCCGTGCGCCAGAGCCAACTCCTGCGGGGTGAAGGTCTGGTGACCATGCAGGGGCGGTGGCGGTGGCGGCGGGGGCTGCCACTGCTGTGGCGGCGGTGGAGGAGGCGGCGGAGGCGGAGGAGGAGGGGGAGGGGGCGGAGGGGGTGGAGGCGGAGAAGGGGGAGGCGAGGGAGGGACTTCCTCTTCATCGGCCTCAGGCCCAACTTGCGGAAGGTACCGCCTCATGCTCTTGTTGTTGCCGGTGTTATTCCGGACTTGGTGGTGTAGGATGGTGGGAGGTTGCCAAAAGGTGTTGGTGTTGGTGTTGTTGTTGGTGTTGAGCGAGGAGAGAAGACGGTTGTCTAGAAAGATCAAAATCTTTCTGACGGGGGCAGATTATTGTGGTAGCCAAAGAGCAGAAGAGGGATCCCCAAAGTCGCTTGTTTATATAGTCGGCGCCCCGAGGCCCCAGCGCCCCCGCCAAGACGAGAGCGACGGTGACCTGTACTCGACGACGACCCTTTATTGAGACCCAGTAAGGGGATACTATTGTTCAATGGCCATATAGCACCCAGCTCAGGCAATTGCAAGCTTTTCCGGGGCGTGCAGCACCTCTATTGTCTGCGTGAAGTACTGTTGACCATTTGGGTGACCCACTAGCGCCGGGATTCTGCTGGGGTTCTGTGACTACTATTGACCGTGAGGGTAAGCGGGGTATGGCGAGAGACCACCGAAGGTTATTGGTATTGTTGACGTAGCATCCCAAGAACGTGTACTGACCAGTCCTGTCCGGGATATCTTTCACCGACAGCAGTCTTACGAACCTCCGACGGCGACCTACTAGGACAACGTCCAATTCCGACTCTCCAACCTACGGCCTATATCGTACCGAAGCCAGCGCAAGGAAGCCACGATGGGTAAAAGGCAAGGCGATAGGCGAGCAGGAGGGAGGCCAGGGGAATACGCGGTTCCTGACATACGTAGACGGAGGCGGCAGGAACGGCGAGGACGCCTTGACCAAGCATGGAAGTAGGGCAGCAGCGGCAGGACGATGAGCCAAGGGGATACCATGGGCCCACGTAGGAGGCTCTTGAGACAATGGCCAGCATGTATCTGGCATGTAGCAGCCGCAGGCAGTCAGAGCGGTTAATCGCATGTCTTGAACACTTGGTGCTTGATCACCATGCTTGACCTTCGTGCTTGACATCGTATGAGACGATCCCTGATGTCTATAGTGCAAGCTACTCAAGAGCGCGTTGCATACAATCTGGCACTGTACGGGAGCTGAACGCAGGCATGCTGTCCCAGTGGGAGCTGTTTGGAAGTGAACGGATCGTAGAAGTCTTCCTCTAGCCTTTCCGCAGAAGGCCAGTAGGGTTTGGAATGGAGGCCTTCTTTGGCTGTGCAAGGCGCGACTCCCAGCTGTGCTTGTGTGCATGCTGATATTCGGACTGCTTGTTCACAATGGCTCTCCTGCTACGCTATGCTTGACACGTCTCCTCAGCTTTGATGAAGGGCGGGCTGCATTGGTGGGGCTGATATCGTACTCCGTCTCGCTCCGCCGACGGCCGCCTCAGCTTCACCACACACACGACCACAACGCCATCATAGGAATGTGACTACTCGCCAAACCTTGAGCAGAGCGTTTTCAAGCGCGAAAACCTCTGCTGCAACGGCCTCCTCGAAAGGCATCATGCCCCGCGACAGCAGGCTCGTTCAAGATCCTTTCACGGCAACGACCCACGACATCGCGCCACAAGCCCCTCGACCCCCAGGCCAACAAGAAGAAGATCAGCGAGCTTCTCATACATCAGGGCATCGCAGGCGACGGGCAGGATCGCGCGAGGTTCCTTCGAAGCCATGGCTAGCATCCTCTCACCCCTGACGGAGAGCTCACTCACCCCAAGGCAAAGGCAGCCGACGGAGTGGTAAGCTACTGCGCGGCCTTTACTGATGATTGACAGATGAGCGGCTTCCTGACAACGAGCAGTAGCGATACCATGCGCCCATGTGCGGCTTGCTCACTCCTGGGGTGGCGGGCTCCACCGCGGCGTTGAGAACGAGCTTGAAGACTCTTGCTACCCCAAGACGGCGACTGGGCACACCAGGTCTGGGGCCCATGTGGAGGATCTAAGAGCGACTGACAAAGGATACAGTGGTCTCAGACAAACTTTGGGCACTCCCTACAACCATTTCGACTCGCCGTCTTCCTCGCGCACGACATCCCACGAAGCCGCAGAGCGCCTCCGCTACGACCGATACCGCCGATGTGCCTTGATCGCAGGCCAAACATAATGCTTGAATGAGCTGCAGACCAAATGCGAGAGCAGCAACGGGCCAGACAACAGCGAGATAGAAGAGGCACCCCTTGGATGAAGGGTAGCTCGACGAAACGGCGGCGAAGGCTCCATACGCGACGGATACCGGCGATGAGCCACAGCGACATTCGAGCGGCATATCTGCTTCTCCCGCATGCACACTGCAACCGGGGAATGCGATCAGCGAATCGCGACCAATTTTTTTGAATGGCGCGGGGTACACCATCGACTGCGGACAGCCTCAAGCTTGAGACGCCCGGCAACACACAACGAGGGCACGAGCCTCAGGACGTTGGAGTTGGAGGACGAGGGCAGGACAGCGCGACTTTTCGCCCGTGAACCTCGCACGACGGAACAAGGCTATCCTCTCTGCGCATCCTCAGCGACCGAGCATCCAGCCGACCGTGCTGAGAGTCTTCGGCAAGGACCAAGGAGCCGCAGAATCGACGCGACATCTGGAACGATGGATAGCCTCGAACGTGTTCATCATAACACGAGAAATTCAATATATGCGCTTTCGATGTCAGGCATAGCGAAGCCGGCCATACTCTCGTCAGGTGGTCAAGATTCGGCTTTCGGAAGCGATGTCTTGAGGCTAAATGTCCTTATGAGCTCGGAACGGCGATGAGGATAGCATCAGGGTTGCGCGTATTCATGGCTGAGATATGCATGAGCATGCCGCTATGAGATGCGAGCAGATTACGCAGCGTCGCGCGGTCCGTAAGACGTCTTCCACGGCATGCGACGCCCTCACAACGGAAATCCGAAGACCATGGCGCACAGCTTTCTACGTTGCATGCCGCGGCAGTGTTTCCCTAGCTCTTTCTATCGCCAGCGAGATGAACGATGATACACCGGTATTACGAAATGATGGAAGATGAGTTGGCGAGCTTCTCGATGAAGTTTGCGAAGAAGGGGCGAAGACGTGCGGTCGGAAGTCCGGGAAGGATGACGCGCGGAAGCGAGTGTGGGTCGCCATCTTCCGCCCAGTCACCGTCGACGTGCAGCCGCAGACCATCCCTTGCCATCCTCACGGGCGATCTGGCATCTCCAGAATGCTTCGCCACTATCGCCATCAACAATGAATACATTCTGGTATGGGCCAGGGCAGGCAAACGTCAGCAAACATCCGATGATGAAGAGGGGGGTTACATACCGCTGCGAGGGTGGCAACACTGATTCGTTCACGACGCGATGCATGAGGCCCGCAGGCTAACGAAGACATGTGGTTTATTGGAGATAGATTGGAGATAGATTGGAGAACTTCATGCGCATTTGAACCTCAACTCGAAACCAAGACGTCGCTCATATCCCATCGCCAAATCCGTTTCCACAAGTCGCCACAAACTTCCAACACACCGCGCCGGGGGTTCCGACGACTTCCACCACCCTTTACCATTCATACACTGTGACCTTTCGCGTTCGGCCTCTTGCTATTTCCCACAAGTCGGACTGGTAATGTGGCTCTTCGATCCATCTCTTCCGCGCGGTTGATTTGGGGTTGTCTCTAGCATGATCGCCGCTGACCATCGCGTTGTAGATGCGCTCTACGTTGCGGTTGCGATCGCGTTCGAACCAGCTCGATAGTCGGGTCAGTGGCAGGATCCCTCCCGGTTCTAATCCTTACATCTGGAATATCCTTCCGCTTGGATGCGCCTTAGGTGCGTTGACGAACATGCGGATCTGCCACGCTGAGCACATGACGTTCTCGCAGATGCACTTCTCTTGTGCGAGGGCGGTGACGATGTCCTGTCGGCCAGGAAGCCGAGGTCTTTGTCCTTTTCCTGGATGGTGTCGACATGGACGACGTTGCAGGGTTCACCGATCCAACCCCCTAGAGATGAGGTCGACCTGGTTCTTGATATCCTCATAGTCGTCGTTGGTGAACTCCCACACAGCGTGCTCGGGGTTGGCATCGATGAACATGGCAAGGAACATCTGGCCTTCGAAAGGCTGGATGTCTCGGATGTCCTTGGCCATGGAGCGGGCGAGGTCGTCCATAGTCGCGTAGTGGGTGGCGAAACCGGGCCCTCGTCCTCGTCGGATCCTTCTTTCTTCCACGGCCGGCCAGCCTCACAAAATACAACTACTTGCGCTGACGTTTGTTTGCTGCGTTGTGAGGCTGGCCTTTTCGTTTCTTTTGACACAGCGTTGGGAGCGGCGCCGCAGAGGTGCCATGCGAACCCAACACAGAACACTCCATACGGCGCTCAGTACCGAGCCCGACGGCAGTATTCTGCATCAGGTCGCAGGCGACCTGAGGCGCCAACCACCCACCGGGGGACCCGATGGGTGGAAGGCGGCTTACACCGGCCGAAGCCTAGCAAAGTTAGCTCATGCCTCATGTCCGGTTTGGATAGGATGTTGCTTGGACGTACCGCTGCGGTGCCATGCTAAAACGTTCCGTGGATGGCATAGGCGCGAGCGATCCTCCCATAACGAACACATTCGTCCCACGAGTCTACGAATGCGAACTCGAGGTTCTTGGGTCCAATGTGTTCGTTGTAGAAGTTGCTCAAGCGCTCTACGACACCCACGGATGGAACCGGCGTTGCGGACTTGGTCCCATGTGAGGGTTGCCACGGTCTCCGTCACCGCGCCAAATGATATCAGCGTCTTACGATTTCCCACGAAGACCAAGGCTAGAAGCTTTTACGAACGAACAACTCTGCGCAACGAGTTCAATGCCGATGGTGGATAGGGCCCCGACCTCGCCCATACCCAGTCGCCCCCAACCGAATAACGTGGGACGTCCTTGATGATACTCGGCGTTCGTAACTTTGCACTCTTCATCGGACTATGCTTGTCAGTAGCTGGACGAGAGTATGCGAAAAGTACTCACGAGTGGCTTCTTCCGCGCCTTGCGCTTCTTCTTGCCGGAGGGACTCTGATCTTCCAAGTCGGCAACAACAGCTGCACATGCGCGGCTCGCACCACAGCGGAGACAGGCGGTGTTCTTCGCGAAGTTGTGGTCCACCTGAATTGCCGGGAGGGGACGTAGGAGGGATGCTGAGACCGAAACCCTGACCAACCTTGGACGCATTACCGTTGGGCTGGAAATGGTCTACATCAGTGTCCTTGGTCTTGACATCGGCGTGGCCATCCTTGTTTTGAGCACGGTGGTAGCTGCCGTCTCTCTCTTTGCACGACCAGGGCGATGGTATCATTCCCCGTTCAAGCATCTAAGCCTGCGTGTTAATCTCCATCCCGTATCCTACTCGTGTCCAAAGCTATACGTCGATCCTTGGCTTTGACAGGTGGTTACTCTGAATCGCTGTCAGGAATATCGCCACGGCCAGACTTCTTGAAGCGCGGCTTGTCCTCGGCAAGCAGAAGCACTTGATCGCGTCCGTCGTATCTCTGGCCGCCGAATTTCCAGGCCACAAACTTCTCTGCGTCCTACATGATGCAGGAAGCTTTCGCGGAGGTCATCAGGGCAGCTGCATGGCGTGTTGTCGGTGCGCCAACCCCATTAGGGGAAGGCGACTTACTGCTTGCAGGTCCAGAATGCAATTGGACGTCCGCCGAATTGAGTAAACCAGCTCTCTAGTTCTGACTGGGTAGTGTCGTGGGGGAGACCGCTCGTGTGCAGAACCTTGCTTCGCTCTGACAAGAAAGCGCGAACATCGGCGCGAGCGTCCATCGGCTTGGTCAAGACGTCGGGGTGGTCTTGTGGTATCCACAGCCATTCTCTCCGCACTTCCAGTCTCCAGCCCCGAAGGGAACAGCGCCGGTGCCTCCGCGCATATGTCCGCCACCCATACCGTGGCCGTTTCCGGTATGGCGACTCGCCACCTCGAGTTCTCTTCTGGTATCGAACTTCTTGTTGGAGTGTGCTTTTGTTGACGGGCTTGACGAGGACCGACTCGCGATGCAGCTGTTGTTGAGTTAGCGCTTGAGGTCGGCATTGGATTGGACAGACGTACCTCTTCGCACGACTTTGCCGTTGAACTTGCCCTCCTCGTCTTTGTACATATTGATTCGAGGCTGAGGAGGGCAAGTCCTTTTCTCAGGAACATCACAAAGAGGTTCGGCATGGCTTTCTTGTTCGGCTGCATCATGTCAGCGATTGGTCTAGAAGACTAAGACGGTACTAACCTCAGGCTCTTTCTCAGCCTTCCGCTTCTTGCCAACTTGAGGCTCGGGCGGCACAGTCGGATTCTGAACCCGTACTTGCTCTACATAACCTGTTAGCATTGAGTGGACTAATGGCGAACGAGGGGTCAACATACCAGCGCCATGCTGAAGGATGGGGTATATCGGCAGGTGCCGATGGGGAGCGTGAGACAGCTAGATGGCCGTCAAACTCCCAACCCCCCATGAAGTCGTCTAGGTCTGTGGTGTAACTGGACATGATTTCGTTAGAAGATGTCACTGCACAAGAGGGCGTATATATCGAAACAGCGCCATATTGTCGCACTCAACACTTGCGAACGGCCTCGGGGAGCTTCACATCTGCGTGCGGCGCCTGGTGCAGCTGCCCTCTCCGTGCGACGGCAAAGAATTGGTGGTAGATGTCCATGCGGTCGTTCTCGGGCTCGTCGCACGGGTACATGTAGAGGCCTCTCCGGAAGCCATGATACCAGCGGTCGTTTTCCATGTAGTTGCTGGTTTGGGTCGTTCTGACTGGCAGTGCTCCATGGCCCAGCTGAGGGGATCGTTCGGGTCGAAGTCGCTCACGCCCTGGAGGTTGAGAGATTCGGGTCATGCTTCGTGGACGATGATGTCCTCAAGTTAGGCTGCGGGTACGCTTCGTTCTTGCTCAGGCGCGGGACCACATGCACCGCACCCCGAAGACATCACCGTTCTTGCTGAGGTCCACGATGCGGGCATGCTTCTCCTCGAGCTGAGTTAGTAAGTTCTAGTGCGGAGATTGCTAACGCAGCACATACCTTGACCGGTGCCCAACATGATGTCTTGGAGGTGAAGTCGAAGTAGTTCTCTTCGCAGAATACCTCCAGGGCGACGGCCTGGAATTGACGAGAGACGAACTACTCCGACTCCACCTCATAGCGAAGCGTGTGACGTTGATGAGCCGCCCGTTCATGCAGAGCGATTCCGCAGCCTATTCAATATTAGCAAAAGCGGGTAGATTGCTAATGCGGTACATACCTCTTCATGGGACGAGAAGATGGCAAACCCAGTTCCGGTGGGCTTGTGCTGGTCAGGAGTGCGGAGGGACCTGCCCGAAGGCGAGACTGAATAGTATGTTAGTATGAAAGAGATGGAGCAAGGTTATAAAAGAGAAGTCAAAAGAGTACTGGAGGGGAGAGAGCAAGACGTTGCCAAAGGCGGGGTTGAAGGCGCCTCGCAGCGACTTGGGGCAGGATGGGTATATCGCGCGACCCACAGTACAGAGCACGAAGAGAGTACAGCGCCCAAGCAGGCAAGCAGTATGAGTATGACTTACCAGGCACGCCACCATCGACGATGCAGCGCGTAAGCGTGCATGAGTGTACGTATCAGGCTCGAAAAAGCCTTGCGTTCGCCCGCCGGCGCTGATGAGGTTGTCAGAGAGTGCACGAAGAGACTTAGAGCGGAGCGAAGGATTGACTTACGTATCGTGGGGCAGGCCGCTCATGTGGAGCACTTTGCTGCGCTCCGATAGGAAGCCACACCTGTCGAGCTCAAAAGTTTGCATATAGCTGTGGTGGTGGGTTGTTGAAGAGTCGGAGGGGGAGGTCGGTGGACGAGCTTATATGGCAGCCCTGGCCAGGCCGCCAGGCTCGCAGCTAAGGCTCGCGGCCTCACGCTCACCATCACTTGGCATCAATGGATGTTCCAGATGCCCCTGACGTCGTATCGACACCGGGAAAGTTGGAGGAGCTTGCGACGGGCTTCACGGTGCTTGTCGTACTGCCCTTCGGGCTCTGGGGAGGAGGGGTGTCAAGGTATAGACAGGCTTGAGGGGAGACTCAATAACCTGGACCCTGAGCTTTCAGATAGCACTAGGGGTGAAGCAGAGAAGCAGTTGCGACCGTGCGCGGTGGCGGAGGCTCACCCCAAGGGTGTAAATGTGGGAGTGCAACTCCACCACATCGAGAAAGAAACATCATAAAAGTTGGAGGAGGATATCGTGAGCTCGGCGCTCCTTTTGGAACTCCCCAGACATTTTTTGGTCTGGTGGTGGTGAAGATACAGTGTGGAGGGGGTGGGTTGCCCGAGAGTCCTCCGCAAAAACCAGCTGAGGGAGCAAAGGAACACCAAACTTTTCGCTGAGTGCTTCACATGGGGAAGCTGCCAGGCTCATGCAACACGGCAGCAGATGTCTATGAGGGTCGACAGAGCACGAGAGCGAAGCCTTGAACCGTACCTTCCTCCTGACACTTTTTTGGACAGAATTGACAAAGTGGTTGTGGAACCGCAGCTCGGACACGGGGAAACCCTCGAGACTTGGGGGCAAATCACTGCCTTGCGGCTTTGAGAACATCGAGTTGGCCGCGGAGGTGGCGGGCGGTGCAACACCAAGACCACAGCGCCGGCCTGCGGCGTCACGCCCTTGAGCAACTACCGAACACCGAACGCCCCCAGGCTTGCCTACACCAATATCTATGACCTCCGACTTCCCTGGGCCAAGTTTATTATGCTACCGTAGAGCTACTGCCTCGAGAACGCGAACAGCCCACGACGATTCACCGCAACCCCAGCCCACCAAAGAGCCCGAACCCGCAATCGACAGTGGAGCTCCATATTAGAGACGATCTGGGATGCGTAATTGAGGCCTTGCAGCATGTCAATGTCACCTCATCTTGTGGGACACATGTCAGTGGCTGAGAGTCCAGGGTCCTGTACCGACAGACATGAGGACGGCGATCGGCTTTGGGTTTACGAAGAGGATCATACCAGGATGGCCATGGTACTACAATAGAGGGCCGAGATACTATGCGGCTTTCGCAAGCCGGGGTTCAAGAATTCAGACAGTAGCAGCCTTAGTAGGTGTCATACATGGATGGGTCAAAACGTCTACGTGGATGTCACACAAGCACGAACAGGATCAGCGATTACAATGTATGCGCTGAGGGTACTGTAGAGCTATGTACAATTCCACAAAGATCGAGTGCCGAGTCAGCGTATGCATTCCTCATGAGGCAGTTGACAAGGGCAGCAAGGAGGCCACATTCCGAGTCTGACGAGCAAAGGACGGATGCCATGACCGCCAGGGATATACATTGGGATACCGAGGGTGGCAGGCAAGGCCGATATGTCTAATAGAGGCGACATGATCTTGGGGATGTCATGGTTGCTGTTACTGAAATCCTTTGTCTACGATAGGCTCCCTCGTGGTCGGTGCAAGAGACTTTACTTGAACCAATGTGGTAATATCTACTGAGTGAGATCATCGTCGTTTAGATGCATTCATTATGGTATCTTAACACAACTACATATCCTCGCATCATCCGTACATGGTCAGGAAGACACGCGAGCCAGCCACCCGCCTACTCAAACTCAACTCCTTCCATCGCATCCTCCTCGGACATCGCCCACAATTCCCTCTCCAACCAGTTCGGCACCAAACACGTTCCGGGCGGCCTGCCATCCTTCCAGTAGGTCTTCGCCCAACCTATCCTGAGCCCGTCAAGACCAATGGGCCACTTCTCCCAAACCTCCTCCAAATCCTCACCGTCCACACTGTATGTCCACCAGCCTCTCGCAGCAGCCCGATGACTTCCAGCCGCCTCCTCCTTCACCTGCTGCGTCTGCCCGTAAAGCGATGTATACATCCAGTCTCCGCCCGGAGGGTGTCCAGCGGGAGGGCCACGGGTGTCGCGGAGGGCGCTCAGACGCGCGATCTCGTCGTGGTAGAGACGCTTCAGAACGTGTTCGTTCTGAAGGGGGGTCAGGTGGGGGTGTGGGAGCGGCTTTTCGAGGTGGCCGATCCAGAGAGGGCAGTCTGATGCCTTCTCGAACGTGAGGGTCGAGATGGCGTCGGTGATCTTGGCCTTGACCTGGCTCATGTTAGTAATGATGGTATATGTGATGGGATGGACAGACTTACTTCTTCCTCGACTACCTCAGGAGTGGGAGTCGACGTAGGACCACGAGGAGTCTTTTCGCTACCGACAGTGCCATCTTCCCGAATACGACCCGAGTCGGGGTCGTCGATGTCGCTCTCAGAAGGACTCAAGACGCTGTCAGAGTCGGAATCTGACTTGTCGCCGTAGCCCAGAAAGGCCCTGTTGAGATGACGTCTAGTCCAGACAGGGTCGCCGCCAGCGGACAGGATGCCCTGGTGACGACGTTGTCCGTCGAGGACCCACTGCTGCTTCTTTGCCTCAGTCGCAGCCGCCTGCTCGAGCTTCTCTTGCTCTGCCTTGGCTTCGCGGTCGAAGAAGACTCTCAACCAGCACCGTTCATCGTCAGTGGCCTTGTTCTCCTGCAAAGCGGCGGTGATACGGTTGGCCTTTTCAAGGTCGCGCCGCCACTGTGGCTTCTGCGCTTCCTCGACGATCTGGCTAGTCTGAAGAGGGGTTGAAGTTAGCGGTTGCTTATCCTTGAATTGAGGTAATGGTGACTTACGAAACCGACTGGGATAGGCGTCTCCTCAGGCAGCGAGGAGTACGCGAGTGCATGGCGACGGGCGGGCGTGTTCTTGTCCTGGACAAGCTTTGCGTAGTAGGCCGCGATGTCGCGTTTGGCTTCGCCGATGGAGTTGGGCGCCCTGCGCGCTTCGTGCTTGGTGCGAGCCATTTTGAATGAATGAAGAGGGTGTATAGAAAGGTATTATACGTGTAAGAGGGAGGGGTATAAAGAATTGAGGTAGAGTTGTGTTGGTGGGGTGGGAATATCGGTGGTGTGTGGGCGATGAGGGAGTTTGTGCGTTTGTCGAGAAGCCCTTTCATTTTGGCGAACGCAAGGCCTCCTAGTTTTTCCGTCGTCTGGTGTTTTGCTTTGGCTTTCACACGACCACCGCCGGCGGGAAATCTAGCGTATGGGGTTTCGCATCGAGTGGTCGCGCTCAGTCTCTGCTATCAGATTAGTGTGCTGCACAACGGCGACGAGGATATATGAAGACTTACTGTTGATGGAGCAGTTCATGAGTTTCCTGCTTCGGTCCATGTAGGAAGGCCTCCCTACGGTATTAATAGTAGAGAGACAGTGTTTGTAAGACGTGCTCGCATCCACGAGACCGCCGGTCTGTTTGCCATCTTCTATCAGGCGTGGTAGAGCATGTGAATCCAGACAATGGAATGACGTTTGCCAGGCTGACGTGATCACTCAAATTGACGCATAAGGTGAGATAGACGGTAGACAAACAGAATTGGATATGCATAGAGACATCAGGGGTATTATACAAGCGCTCATGGCGACATAAGAAATCCAACAACTCCGCGCTTTACATCATTCAACATCGTGATAAAAGGAAATGAGAACCATCCCGACCCGCCGTATCGATGGTAATTTCAACGGGTGGCGCATTGGGCCGATCTAGACATGGTCGTGTCTTCCGAGCAACTTGCCCTTCTTGCCGAGAGCCTTGGCCTCGCCCTGCTTGATCTTCGCAAGTCTCGCCCTGTATAGTCATTAGCAACTACTCAACATCATCTCCATTGTCCACAGTTGCACTTACTCCTCAGCAGCCTCACGCTCCAAACGATGCACATGCTCACGCGCCTCCCTCACAGCGTTCTTAGCGACAAAGAGCGCACGGTCAGCGTCCCTCTCCGCAGCCTCAGCAGTCATCAAACTCTGCTTCGCAGTCGCAATGCTAGGGTCTCCGGAGCTACGGCTGAACATGCCAGATGTGCGCTTGGGGGACGAGGTGTATGTCGTGGTGGTGCGGCTGGTGGAGCTGCTATGGCGCGAATCCCTGTACGAAGGGGAGGAAGAGCGACGCCTAGAGAACATGGAGTGTTTCTGAGGAGGAGCAGGAGGGGGGCTGGGCTCCCGCTTGGATCCGAAGAGAGGCATGTTGTTTATTGGGTATAGAAGTTATGAGAAGCTTCAAGATAATCCACAGGAGATCTGGACTGCGAGATGCGTGCTTGGCTAGACGTTGGAGATGATAAAGTCTGGAGATTTAGAGTTGAAGATTCGGAAAGCACATGCCGGGTCTTATATGTGAAGTCCTCCCTGTCATAGCGCTCCTTCGTCGTGTCTTCCTAGCTGTCTGTCAAGGACGCGAAAGCAGGGTTCGGGAACCTGCATTGCGTGACGTCAATGCCCCAAAGCAGGGGGTGATCTGCGCCTCCAACATCACGAAAGCAGCCGCATCGTCATCGCTAATCTGCGAAATGAATTGGTAACCACAAAAAACGGTTATCGCGAAACGTTCATCGCGATATTATGAATTGAAGCTTAGCGTGGTGTTGAAGTTTGTTGTGGGTCTGTGAGTACGCGTCCTGCGCCGGATCTGGTGCCGGAGGCACTTGGTGTACCGGACTTGAGGAAAGCTAGTGAGCTTAACGAGACTACAACTTCAAGAAATTTGGTGCCGATTGAACCGAGGAAGACGAGGATAGTCTTCGTCAAGCCTTATTTTCGGCTATGCGACAATGCATGTGCTCATTGGCAGCAAGTGATAACAGTGTATTCCAAGATTCTGTCTAACAAGGTCGGTGACCCCCACCGGCCTTCTACGCCATGCACATGCAACGTGTATACCAAAACGCCACCCAATGCTCGCTATATATATGATACAATATAGATCAACTACATTTGGCCCCTTCACCGTTACCCATCATCGTTTTGCTCGTCGTCTTAATGATGCTGATGACCATAACGATACCTCCAAATGCCGCAACAGCCCCAGCCAAGTACGTCTTCCAGCTTCTTTGGCTCAGCTTCATGTAGCAAAGAGGCGGCAGGATGAATGCTAATGCGCATGCAGATGTTGCGCCAAACAACTCGAACACTATACCGAGATCGCAGGTGAGGAGGGAGAGTGTGAGGGCGGAGACGACGAGCGAGGTCGTGAAGATGAGATGGCGGTTCGGGTGGTACGGCTCGTCTGGAAACCAATAGTTGGTCATGACTTCTCGACATACAAAGGCTTCGAGCGGAAGCGTAGTAAGCATGTTGAGGCCGAAACACAGTCGCGCAATATTGACCATAAGGTTATCGTTCGGAAAGTTATTCAGCACGTTGCCGAGGGTTTTGTCTCCGAAGGTCAAGTAGCCTGTTAGAGCCATGACAAGACATGCGACTAAAGATATACTGGTGCTGTAGTGTGTAACGCGTGTAAATCGATCGATCGTAGGTTTGCGGAGGGAGCCGTAGATGAGGAGGCTGTTGTGGTGGCAGACGAAGGCGAACGCGATTACGCCAATTGCTTCGAAGATGCCGGGTCGGATGATGAGGTTACCGCGAAGTTGGCCCTTCAGTTCGGCGGGTACGCGGAAGGCTTGCGTGACTACGGTCACTATGATGATGGTCATACTGACCAGTGCTAGACCACTTGCTTTGGCCAGCTACGAATTGTCAGCGCAAATATGAGGCGGAACCGCGGATATCTTACCTTGGATATATCCCGATAGAGCGATAGTGGAAATGATATGCCAAGAATGAGCAAGATCATGATGGCCCGTCTATTAGTTAGTAGCCAGAGAAACGGCATGTCTGCTAAGGAAGGGAACATCGAATCCAAGACCCTTGGTATTGTATCTCCAACCACGACGCAAAACGCGACCATGCCACCAAAAGCGCTGTATGTTGTCAATACCCTTGCTGCCACAAGTCGTAGGGTGAACATACAAGAGCCATTGCGCGAGAGATATCGCTATCAACCCCGATTTGCCAAAACAGTGTTGTACCGTGGCTTGGAACGAGTCGGTGCCGCTGAGCTTGGAGTTTATGACGATGAGTCGTATGGTCCAGTCTACCACGATGGTAAGGCCGATGAGGAGGGCGGTGCCTGTCACGAGGCCTGCGTTGCGAACAGCGTAGGGTTGGCCGATGATACCAGCTCCTCTGCTTTTCGTCAGCTTCCTTCTATGGGTTCATCTTCGGCGGCATACATTATACTGTTTGCCATGTTCATGAACGCGCTTCGCATCCCGCTCCGTGGTCGCGCATTCTCGAGATGGTCTTCCGGATTGAAGGATTCTTCCGCAACTGTGACGCTCGGCGCCTCGATTCCAGTGAGCAGAGGAAGTCGCTGCGTTCTTTCTCGCCCATCGCCGCCATCCAAGTAGTCGTCTCCATCTAGCTCAAGCCAGTCGTCGCCGCCATTGTTGTCCCCATTCATGCTCCTCCTGGGTTCCTCGAAGCGCACCCGATTGGGCGTTCTCGGTGCGCCATCAGGCCGGGCTTGTGCGAACGACGACTGCCGCTTAATGTTGCCATTTGGGCGTGACCCGGGTGGTGCTGGAGACGCGGAGGTGGTTCGCGATGACGAGGGCGATGGAGACAGGTGTCGCGGGCTTGCTTTGCGCTCGTGTTCGGGTTCTGAGTCGCTGTCAGAAGGATGCTCATGCAGGAGCTTCTGGCTTTCGCTCATCGTGGCATTGTCGAAGTTCAGGGAAGTTTGCAGCTCGAATGATCGTCGACATGTCACTCCCGACTTCTGGCATCGGACATTGGACCCCTGTTTCGCCACTAGGTCGTATATGGCTTAGTGCTCATCGTCACTTCCGGCGAGAATTGTGGGGTGGATTTGGCTGAGCAGTAGAACATCCTCCTTGTATATTTTCGGGCTTCGCATTGCACTACATAGTCGTACTATCTATGTTTGAGTTCGCTCAAGCTCAAACCTCCGACTGCCTTTGACGCCTCTGCTATGAGGGTCGCCGTCACCATCCTGAGGTTACATTGATGGGCATTATATGACCCTTGGAACCAAGAAGGGGATTGCATGCCTTGCACTTGCTCACAAAGTGCAGAAAAGCTGAGATCGGTGAATGGTACCTCAGGTCGAGGCTCACATAGACCTAGGCGACTCATTTCCTTCATCATGCTTCCAAGAAGAAAGGACCCGCACTGGAAAGACAGTGCAGTACCGTACAGACAAGTATAGTCAGTCCGACGATACTTTTCAAGGTGTTGGTGGAGTTGTTCGATGACAGACTCGATTGCTTGGTATCGCTTACAGTCGAGTTCGTCTATATTGCATGAGATATCATGTTGTCGTTGACAGTCGAACACACGTACCTGATACTCTCGTAGGAATAGGAAGTTCCAAGGTTTGAAAAGATTCGGTACTTTGTCTGATAACAGTGTCGGTAGCTTGGGTGAATTGTTGCTCAACGTCGAAGATCCATGCGACCCAAACCCATAACACCAAGTCTCTGCAATATATTGTAGGTATAGATGTCTTTGTGAGGGATTGAACCCATACTTCAGTGAACACATCGAGAGATTCTTCGAAGTTGTAGTAATCCTCCAGAACAGCGATTTTGGCCAGCATTTCGAGCGTCACTTCACGTGGAACCTGCTTGTTGCGTCCATGGACGATCCGCAAGACGATGAGAAATGCTTCAGGGTCCCAGTCGTGAGCCACTATGTGGTAAAGGCCATCGACTTCGTTGCGCACAGATTCGGCGAAGCCGTCTTGTGCCAGCATTCGCTTGAACGTGGAGGATGCGAGCATCAAGTGGCGCGAGGACACATGATAGTGTATTGACTGCTCTTCAAGCTCTCCAGGCTCTTCCGGTGCAATTGGTGGCGGTGTATGCTGCATGGCAGATGAAGCCTCCGCAGGCGCGGTAGACCCATTATCTAAAGGAAGCATACTGCCGTCTCCAGCGCTCTCGGTAGATGGAGGTTCTGGAGGTGGAGATGGAGGAGGTGGCGGAGCCTTCTTCCCCTTCTTCTTCGTTTTCTTGATAATCCTCCTTGCAGCTGAACCCCAGTCGTCGACATCGTTTGGCTGCTGTCCTAGTTGCGGCTTCCAGCGCGCGAAGATCGTACACGGATTCTTGAGCACAATGACTGTATCCGGATCTGGATCGATGATGTGAACGATGGGTGCCATGATTGGTCTTGAGAATATGTAGCGAGATGAATGGAAGTATGCCTAGCAAGCAAGTTGGCTGGCAAGTTGGGCGTCCGAGTAAGATGGTTGAGAAAGAAAAAGTCAAGACTTCTTCTGACCGCAAACTGAAGTAGGCTGACGCTGTCATGTCGCTTCCACACGCTGCGCATCCATTACGTTGACCTGCGCATCATGTCCAATAACAAGTGCAGAAACAGCTATCAGTGCGGAGTTGTGCAGCGATGTGTTTGTTGTTCGGCGCCAATCCAGCGGAACAGTTGTATCATTGGAGGCTCGCGTTACACAACGCCACTGAGCTGCATCGCCAATACATGCGGGATAAGACATGCATGCAGAGGACGGAATACGGTGCGAGGAATGATTGGATAAGATCACATAGCACTGCAAACGCGCAACCGGCATAGTCGTACTGTAGTGGCTTGAGATTCTGGAGAAGTGTATGGTGAGATACAAACATGGCGGCTAGCGATGAGATGCGCAACTGCCATTGGCAGAGGTCATGACTATGTCTTCCTTCCTATCCTCTCCTCCTCCAACTCGCCCTAAAGCGCCTTCCTAACCGCACTCTTAAACGGAATAATTTGCATATCCTCCAAATTCCACACCCCCTCCTTAACATAAACGTCCTGCTTCAACCTCTCCACAACCTCCTCCCTTGTCTTAGCACCAATAAGACACGCCGAGCCCTTCATCTTAGGTGGGCCTGTATCGCCTTCTTTGATGGGTTCCTCGAGCATCGCTCCTGCAAACACATGGCATTAGCTTTATCCTCTCACGTGCAAGGGAGGGAAGTAAACATACCACCCCACAACCACATATCCTCCCTATCCGCCTTCAACCCCTCGAGATGTTTCGGACGAGCCGCAATCCGTTTCTGCAGCGCATCCTTGTGATCAGGCACGATGATGAGCCATTCTTGTAGTGGAGCGTTGGTAGACGAGGCCATTGTGCGGTGATGGAACAGCGGTGCGTATCTCGATGATGTTGTTGCGAGCGTAGATGCGATGACGGGACGCAAGGTGCGGAGGGCAAACATATGTATGTGTCGTAGCAAGTAGGTGGGCGTGTGGGGCTGCGGCTGTGAGAGCTTGAGCTTGGGGAGAGCTACGAGAAGGTGCGCGTGTTAGCTTCTTGGTAGAGGGAATTGAGTGGAGAATGATGCGTACGGTATGCAGTACTTCAAAATGTGGTTTATAGAGGTACGCCGAGTAGTATGTACTTCCAAGGGCGCGTGTTGGCTGTAGTGTTGTAGGGCGCAATGTGGGGAAGATGTAGCTTCCTGTTCGGAATTAAGCCGCGGCTTTCGGAACGTGTCCCGCTAATGCTGGAGCGTGGGGAGATCGAGGACATCACGGTGTGGGCGAAACTCAATTGCTGCGGAAAAATCGTGTTCCAAAGAACGTTTGTGTTTGCTACAAACATTATGACTTGACAGTAAACACATCCAACTCATGAGCTCATACCTCCTTGCGTTAATCCAAGCGTACCTACGCGTAAAGACCACCAACGCCGAAAACAATCGGAAAGACCATATGCGTAAGAGCGCTGCTCTTACCTAAACCCGCCTTATAGATGTACATTGCAGTGCTTAACCACTGCACATGACGCAGGACTCAGGGTTCTCTATCGAGCAAGCAAGGGCGGCTTCAGCATAGATGTCACCATCCCGGTCCTCGCTGTCATCCTTGGAGTCCTCTTCTTGTTTGTCCTTCCTGGTGATCTCCTCGTCCGGCTTGACGGCTGCATCAGCAGCTACCATCTTTGGGCTCGCGCCCTCCTCCACATCGGCCTTGAAAGGCTTGCTTGCGAGAGCGTTGCGGGTCTCCGTGACAGGCGTTGGAGTAGCATCTGGGGTGGGAACACCGTTTTCCTCCTCCTTCTTCTCCTCGCCGTTGGTAGGCTTGGTGGCATACATTGGACGAGGTGCCGAAGATGGGGTTTGCGAAGCAGTGACAGGTGAGTGTCGAATAGCCTCAGGCTGGAAGCCCGGTTGCTTTCGTACCTTGGGCAGAGCACGAGCAACGTTGGTGTCTACGACGTTGAGGGCCTCTTGGTCGACAGTGAACTGGATAGGTGCTGAAGCAGCCATGGTACGGAGGTAGTACATGCCAGTCTTGAGACCAGCCTTCCAGCCAGCAAAGTGCATGGAAGTGATCTTACCCATGGTAGGCTCCTTCATGTGGATGTTGAGAGATTGGGACTGGTCAATGAATGCACCACGGTCAGCAGCCATCTCAATGATCCTCTTCTGCGAGATCTCCCACACGGTCTTGTAGAGCGTCTTGGTCTCCTCGGGGATGTTGGGAATCCTGGCAATTGAACCGCCATCAGCGATGATACGGTTCTTCATGTTCTCAGACCAGAGGCCCATGTCGACGAGATCCTTGAGCAACCATGGGTTGACGACCTGGAACTCACCCGCGAGCACACGGCGAGAGTAGATGTTGGATGTGTATGGCTCGAAGCACTCGTTGTTGCCCAGAATCTGCGAAGTAGAGGCAGTTGGCATGGGCGCGATGAGCAGAGAGTTGCGTACACCGTGCTCAGCGATCTTTGCCTTCAAGGCAGCCCAGTCCCAAAGGTCCGTAGGTTCGACACCCCACATGTCATACTGCAGTTGACCCTGAGAGACGGGAGATCCCGGGTAGGTCTCGTAGGGACCAAGTTCCTTTGCAATATCGCATGAGGAAGTGAGAGCAGCGTGGTAGATGGTCTCGAAGATCTGAATGTTGAGCTTCCTCGCTTCATTGGACTCGAAAGGCATGCGGAGGGCAAGGAAGGCATCAGCGAGACCCTGGACACCCATACCGATGGGTCGGTGGCGGAAGTTGCTGCGGCGTGCCTCTTCGACTGGGTAGTGGTTGACCTCGATGATCTTGTTCAGGTTGCGGGTGACGACCTGTGTGACTTCGTGGAGCTTCTTGAAGTCAAACTCGCCACGCTTGTAGTCGACGAAGGAAGGCAGGGCAAGAGAAGCCAAGTTGCAGACGGCAACCTCATCAGGAGCAGTGTACTCGACGATTTCGGTGCACAGGTTGGAGCTGCGGATGGTACCGAGGTTCTTCTGGTTGCTCTTGCGGTTGCAAGCATCCTTGTAAAGCATGAAGGGGTTACCAGTCTCGGTCTGAGCCTCAAGGATGGCGTACCAGAGCTTCTGGGCGCGGACAGTCTCGCGACCCTTGTTCTGCTTCTCGTAGCTCTCGTACAGAGCCTCAAACTCATCACCATATACATCGGCAAGGCCGGGGCACTCGTTGGGGCACATGAGTGTCCAGTTTCCATTGTCTTGGACACGCTTCATGAACAGGTCGGGAATCCACAGAGCGTAGAAAAGGTCACGAGCACGGACCTCCTCTTTGCCGTGGTTCTTGCGCAGGTCGAGGAAGCCGAAGACGTCGGCGTGCCATGGCTCGAGGTAGATGGCGAAAGCACCGGGACGCTTGTTGCCACCCTGGTCGACATAGCGAGCAGTGTTGTTGTACACACGGAGCATAGGGATGAGACCGTTGGATGTTCCGTTGGTGCCACCAATGTATGAGCCAGTAGCACGAATGCGGTGGACGTTGAGACCAATACCGCCGGCAGTCTTGGAGATCAACGCACATGTCTTTAGTGTGTCGTAGATACCGTCAATGCTGTCCTCCTTCATGTCGATGAGGAAGCATGACGACATTTGTGGCGATGGTGTACCCGCGTTGAACAGTGTGGGCGAGGCGTGTGTGAAGTACTTTTGAGACATGTAGTCGTAGGTCTCAATAGCCTTCTCGATGTCGGCTCCGTGAATACCGACAGCGACACGCATGAGCATGTGTTGTGGGCGCTCGGCGACCTTGCCGTTGATGCGGAGGAGATATGAGCGCTCAAGCGTCTTGAAGCCGAAGAACTGGTAGTTGAAGTCGCGGTCGTAGACTATAGCCGAGTTGAGCTCGTCGGCGTTGTCCATGATGATCTTGTAGATGTAATCAGAGATCATGGGTTGGCGGGTGTTGTTTTTGGGGTTGACATAGTTGTACAGCTCTTCTACAACTACAGAGAATTGCTTCTGTGTCTGCTTGTGAAGATTTGATACGGCGATACGCGCAGCGAGGATGGCGTAGTCGGGATGTGTGGTGGTCATGTACGCTGCTGTCTCAGCGGCCTGTCGTCTGTTAGCCACTGGAAAGACATTGAACGCATCGAAAGCCGTACCAAGTCGTCTAGCTGGACGGTGTTGACACCCTGGTAAACACCAGAAATGACCTTCATGGTGATGGCGGCGGGGTCAACATGGTCCGGGTCGAGGCCGTAACACAGCCTTGAGACTCGTGCTGTGATCTTGTCGAACTGCACGCGTTCCTTGCGTCCATCTGAAGTCAATCGTTAGTGGTGAAGATTTGAGGCGGTGAAGGCAAAGCAGTACATACCACGCTTGAGGACGAACATGTTGAATTAGAAAAGTAGTGGGGGTATCTGTGTGGGTATCGTGAAGAGGGTGTATTGAGGAGAGTGCAGGAGTGAGGGGTGGGTGGACGCAGGGACACTTATAACGCGTAAAGAGAAGAAACGCGTCCCGTCGCGTTGCTTGGGTCACGGATCCGTTTAGTGCTAAAGTGGCTGCTTGCATAAGCAGAGTAGGCGTGGCAGGGATGTGGAGTCGGGGAAGCGACCGCCGATGCCCGAACTTTTCGCGGGCGACAGTATCGCGGCGTGCAAGAGGCTGAGGTCGTGCAGCAACATCAAGACCCTCCACGCCCTTCCCGGCCTATACAGAACCAATTGCCCGTCATGGCAGGCGGTCACATGAAATATCGCCACCTCAGTCGGTCGTCGTCGCATCGTCAAGCGCTCCTGCGGAACCTCGTCACATCGCTCTTCAAGCACGAAACCATAGCGACAACATGGCACAAGGCGAAGGAGGCACAGCGGTTAGCGGAGAAGCTGATTACCCTCGGAAAGAAGAACACCAAGGCGACGCGGCGGAGAGCGACACAGATCTTCTATGTACGAACCCCAATGGCGTATCCAAGAGCGCGTACTGATAATATCAGGAACCAAATGAGATGGTACCCAAGCTATTCGGCCCCATAAGAGAGCGCTACGAATCCAGACCCGGCGGCTACACCCGAGTACTCCGCGTCGAGCCCATGAAAGAAGACCAAGCCGAATCCGCCATCCTCGAACTCGTAGACGGGCCACGAGACATGCGCTTCGCCATGACCGCAAAGACACTGGCAAGGAGACCAGCAAACTTAGGCCTGACTCCAGGAATCACAACGCACGTCAAGAAGGTCACACAATTCCGCAAGGACGGCGTAGATGGCTTGCGGGACATGGTTGAGAGGTTACGGATACTACACTCCACAGGTCTGGATAAGAGGACATTGCCCGCGCCTAAGAAGGTGTACCCAGAGATTGAGATGAAGAGGACCATGCATTACCCTGAGGAGGTGGATATGGGCAAGGCCCCGAACAAGGTCGTTGGTCCAACAAAGCAGAAGTACATGATAGAAAGGAGCCGAAGGTTACAGCAAGAGAAGGAGGAGCGCACAAGGGCGCATAAGGAGAAGATGGAGAAGATGAAGAAGGTCAAGGCGTGAGATGTCACTTTGAAAGCGAGGGCGCTGTCCCGCGAAGCCGCTGTAGCAAATGTGTAAATGTACAACAAACAGATGTTCAATACCACTTCCACGCGGATTGATCAAGCAACTTTCGAGCAAGCTTTGTGACGCAGCGCAGTCTTTAAGATAAGGCGGGTGATCAAGAGTTCCTTAGGAAACTCAGTGCAACTGCCTCACTCCGTTTGTAATTTGCTCGTATACGCGCTCGAGATGTCGAGGTGACCCAGATCGCGAAGTCTGATATGTCGTAGTGAAGGATCCCCTCACAGGGCTTAATGCCGCAGTGACCACGATATCAACTCCGAGATGAGGCTGCCTGGGTGTATATAAAGCCGACTTTCGCGCGCTTGTCTGCCTCCCTCTCTCCTTCATCCATTATATATCGACTTCTCAGTAGCAACATGTCGGCCAGTAACCAGCAACAGCAATCACAGATACAGCCGCGTATATCGTAAGTCATCATACCCGAGTCCCAGTACTACCCAAGATACTAACCTCGATAGAGCACCTAACACGGCCATGGCTGAGATCGTTGTTGGACCCAAGGCAAAACGCTTCACTGTGCAGCTCAACCTTATCGTCTACTACTCGCCCTTCTTTTTCGCTGCCCTGAAAGGTCCCTTCAAAGAAGCCAAAGACAAAGTCGTCACCCTACCCGACACTGAGGCGAAGATCTTTGAGCTATTCGTCCATTGGCTGTGTCATCAACGCTTTCCTACGCAGGTGGACTCTCCCCGAATACTCGCGCTCTACCACCAGGACGACTACCCATACTTCCAATCCGCTAGGCTGATGAAACTCTACGTGTTCTCTGACAAGTACAATGTCCCAAAGCTGAAGCGACAGTGCCTAGATGCGCTATTCGAGCATATCGGCGATGCAACTGGATATCAACTGCCGGATCTAAACGACGTCGCCTACGCGGTCAAGAACTTGAACGATCAGGATCCGCTTCTTCGCATGATCATCGACGGCTTCTGCTACCACGGTAACAGTGAGTGCTGGGAAACTAGCCAGATCAAGAATTTGCCGCTTCCTTTCATAGCAAAGCTCATGAAACATATGTCCGAGTTTCGCGATGGTGGTCTCGAAGACATGAGAGAACCTGAGTTGTGCCACTATCATGGTCATGCAACGAGAGAAGAGAGGCAGATATGCGAGAACAGGCGGGAGAGGGAGGAGCAGGCGAGAGAGATGATGGAGGATTGAGGATCGAGAGAAGCTTTGGTGGGTTCCCGGAAATGACGATCGAATGAGCTGGAGTTGCAAGGTGTTTTGTGGCGTGAAGGTCTACTCGGCGAAAGTAATAACTTGGAGTATCGGAGTTGATTGACTATTTTTGTATTTCGAATTGGCGGGTAATGGTACAGCGACGAAGGAAAGGTCTATTTGGCGAGGGTATCCGGACGCGTTGTTCTTTCGAACGCAATATAGACTGCTTTTCTTAGAATCACACACTTGTAAAAACCCCATTCTGATAGTCGACGACAATTGCCTTCTCGAGTGCCGATGCTGCCGCCTCCTTGAACGTTTTGTGAACTGGATCATCATTGACGTAGTAATCACGATCTTCGATGGAATGAAACTGCAGGACAAAAGCGTGGCTGATGCCGTTCTGTGCGAGAAGGTCAGACTGTTGACGATCTCTAAACTTCGATCGGCGCTGAATACCTGCAGATTCTCAGTCGAGATATCCTTCCCTCCCGAGATCGAAACAATGTACGGCCTGAGCGTAGTTGGATGTATGCATGTTTTCTTCAGCCCAAAGAATTGCGCAATCACCTAAGAAGTGGTCTCAGCGTCGCTCATCAGCGTGGGTCTTGCGCGCGTCTGACCTCCTTGACAGCGAACTTGCTGGTGCCGTCTTTGAACTGGAACAACACGATATGCGTGGTGTAGGGTATGACTGGCCCATACGGCCCGAAGAAGTACTCGGCGAGCGAGTGTCCCACCGTCCGCGAGAAAAGTATGAGGCCTGTCGCGAGAAGCAGGCAAACAACGAGCCCGAAGGCCTTCTTTGGTATCATCATGCCGCTAGGAGATAGCTCCGTGGAGCGCGTCAAGTTGGCAGTGGTTGAATTCAAAAGCAAATCTATGCACGCACTTTGCTGCAAGACAACAGCGGAAGCGCATTGGCAGAGGTGCGACAAGGATAGAGGGAAAATCATCCCCCTCCCCGACGCAAAGGCAAGGTGTACCTGTCGACGTACCGAGGGTGATGCGAGCGCTAAATCCTGGAAGCACACAACCCGCAGCCGCAAATTGCTGGCAGATGGGGTAGTGGGTCCGAGCTCCCTGCTCACTCCACTTCCCAAGTGACGTACCTGAGTGAGAGACGCGCGAAGGAAGCACGTCGAAAGTCGAAAAGCCAGTCTTTGGCCGTGCTGTGGCCATGCTAAAGTTGCTATGGCGTACAGTCCAGACCCGCTCCAGGGCAAGTGGATGGGACTTGCATCAATTGGGACGGGCTGAGCCAGGTTCTGGCTCGATTGTCCACGATTGAGTGGGGCCTTGGCATCTACGTCATACGAATGTCAGGTGCAGGCCCTCGCTGCGGCTGCGACTACAAAAGAGCTCGTCTTCCTGGTCTCCTGCAAACCATCACCACAAGCAAACTCACTTTACTCTCCCCATAACCTCATTACAAACCACACACTACCATCACAATGGCCTCCCTACACTGTAAGCAAACACTCAGTCCACGTTCTAGCTGCTGCCCGCACTTGCACGAGCAATTGCGCAAGAGCTGGCAGCTTCCGCATCGCAATTGAAGAATCTGACTAACAATTCATCTCAGACCTCCCTCCCGTCAAGCCCTCTGCCATCGCTCTCGGCACGGCCTTCAACCACGCCGTCTCCCTCGCTGTCCTCGGCCCCGTCTTCGGTGACGCATACCGCCGCGCACAGCAGGCCAACTCCAAGGAGGAGTACTTCCACAGCAAGGAGGCCGCTACCGCCGCCGCATCGTGGGGTAGCTCCGTCCTCGGCTCTGGTATCCAGGCCTACGGTGTCGGTGCTCTGATCAACGCTACCGGAACTCTCACCTACAAGGGTGCTGCTTACCTCGGCTCTCTGATCTTCTTCGCCTCCGCCGCTCCCTCCGTACGTCATCCCACGTGTCAACCAAATTTCATAAACATACTCTAACACGTGAACAGATTGTCTCCCAGGTCGTCACCGAGAAGCGCCCCATGGACACCATCGCCATTGGTGCTCTTGCCCGCGTCCTCGAGACCGTCGGTCTCAGCATGTTCCTCACCTACTGGGGAACCCGCACCAACCCCTTCGACTAAGCGTCTCGCCCCACAACGGCAGAGGAGTTTAGGGATTCTCATCTTTGGCGGTTTAGATTGATGCTTCAGTCAGCGAATGATGCAGATGATATGAGCTAGCAAAAAGCTTGATAAAGGGCTTGCTTCTTACGATGTAATATACCTCAATGAAGGAAATAATTCATGCAGTCGTCTTGATTATGCAATTGTGATGCTGTCTTGTTCGTGCTTTCATGAACACGCTTGTGACACACATCCATGAAATAATGTCCTCGGGTCCTGGTAAAATTTAACACCTATCCTGACATACGAACGTTGCTCAAACTCATTCTTTGAGGTGCCATGCGTCTTTCTTGTGAATTCGCTGCGTGCATGGAGATTTTGATACAATCTAGCACAACCTCCGTCATTTCTGTATTCTCGCATGGCATAAGAACAGAATTTACAAGAGTCCCAGTAACCGAAGACAATCTGTTACGCAAAAAAAAATCTATCCAAGTTGCTTTACACAACACTGACGACACTGACTTTGGTCTTGCTTTGAAGGCGTGACGATGATGTCGAAGCATGACAACCATGACGTTGGAACAACTTCGTGCCATGAGCTACCTGGAAGTCTTCCCGAATACCTCACCTAGATATGTACGGCGAAGACGAGCAAGGCTTGCTTATCAAGACCGTAGCTGTGGATTGCATCTATTAGAAGTATGTATGCTAGCGTGGGGTATTATCATGATGTGAGCGGGGTTTTAGAAACACCTCTACTAGTACCAAGGAAAGAATTGTAGCCAAGATGAGTGGAATGTAGACACGGCTAGTAAGAGGCTTTTAATGTCTAAGGTAGTTAGTTGTTAGGCTCGTGACTAAATGTTTTACTGTAGTTTTAGAGTAAACACTGTCTACTAAACACGGACAGAGGACTGGCTGTGGTGTAGTTGATAGATTGGGATTTACGCGCAGAAGTCTTGGTCAATACAAGAAGACGGAGATGAAGCAAAGCTTTTGTAAATAATGGTCATTCCTCAGGGATGATGTATTGCTTCTGTCGACTTGCGACCCGTGTGTCGACCGATTCCTTTGATATAGGATCTGCTGTACCGTGATTGCGGTATCTAGGTGCACTCCTGGTGTATGGACAGCAGCTGATAATTCCTTCGGTGTTGGTCCTGCTTGTGATACTGAGAAGAGCGATATTTTGTGGTAGTCTGCGCTGTAGTTTCAGCATGAAGCAGACAAGCCGTGGATCGGAACTCATTATCTGAGAAGACCTCCAGATGCGGCCGCGATGCTGCATTATCGTTTCGAACGACGAATGCAAGCTCCATACGATCGCCAGCCCCTCGATGTCGACCGCTCATGCTCCGCCGCAGCTCTTCCTAATACCACTACCTCATTGCGCTTTCTCACCTCACCCCCTCCCGGCCGCCTCCAACAACCCCGACACAGTCGTAACCCTATACCCCCTCCTCTTCAACACCGGCAACACCTTCCTCAACATCGGCGCCGTCCAGCCCCTCCTATCATGACAAATGATAATACTGCCTTCCCTCACCATACTCAGCACATGCCTCGCATTCACCCCCGGGTAAGCAATCTGCGGATCATGAGGATACACACTACCCAGCACCATCTGGTACCCCATCTCCTTGATCTGCGCCCTCATCCTCGTGCTGAAGAATCCCGAGCCAGGGCGGAAGTAACGTGGCGGATGCGGTTTCCCCACTGCGTCGTAGGTGCCGTTGATGTAGCCTTCTACTTGGGTTACTTCTGCGGTGAGGGTTTCAGGGCTGAGCGAACGGGATGGCTCGTCGTGCATGGCGTGGTTTCCAAGTTCCATACCGCTTTTCACAAGAGCCTCGAGTGCTTCCTGTCTTCCTGGGACTTGGCCTCCAATAACAAAGAACGTTGCATGCGCATCATATTCTTCTAGTACCTGCAGAATCTCTTTCGTGTACTCCGACGGCGCATCGTCAATCGTCAAAGCAATGACTTTCTCTCCTCCCGTTGTTTTTGCCAAAGGCACGTGCCAAAGCACATCCGGCCACCTCCGCTGGAAATACCGTATCAACGCATTCGGCGGCTTGTAGATGACGTAAAAAGGCAGCACAAAAGCCACTATCACAAACACGAGGAAGAACATGGTGTACATGCGTCGACGGCGCTTCGCTCGCGTTGTCGGCAGGCGGAAGAGGCGCAGCGGAAGGCGGGGCATGGTATGCCGGTGTACAATGGGATTTGAGGATCGCGATCTTTCATCGTAGGGAATGCGGCGCGAGATTGGAGGAAGTCATGTGGGGTGGGTATTTAGGGTGTGTGTTGGGGATGCGCGTTGGTGGTTGCGTTGCGTGGGTGAGGCTTGCTCGTGTTGGGTTGTGGATCAAAGGGGTTAGGGGCACATGCAGGGTTGTTCCATCGGGTTTAGCGCAGACACGTGCAGGCGTGGTTTTGAAGAAAATCGCGGTCCGTGAATTTTTCTCTCTCCTCTACAGCTACGCTCGCGCACGATGCGCAGTTTCTTCGGCAGCACGTCGCACAGGATTGACGCGTGTACGTCGTGTATGCTGGGCATGGCGCGCATCATTGCCTACAACTAGGTGCTTATGTCGTTTCCAGAGTTTGAAACGACTGAGGTCCACCAGGATATACGCGCCCGCGAACCTCACCCGTACTCGTCCGTACATCACGATCTTCAATTTTGTAGAATCAGGAACCAATTTGTCACGCTTGCTCGAACAGCTACAACTTCGATACAAGCCCTCTAAGAATGTTCCAAGAACGACCCCGTGAGCGTTTAATTGACCTGGCTGCCTTACTATGTGGCTACTCGGGTCTCATTGCGTTCATACATTCTTTGTTCAACCACGTTGCCTTGCCTTGTTTTACGAGGATGCTGTGCTATTTGGAAGCGTCTGGAATGTCGGATTCCGGCAGCACTAC